ATAATGTGCAATATATAAATGCATCTTTTATAGTAAAATATGCATCTTCTGGATTCTTCTGGTATATTTGATACATTGTTGGTATATGTTCATGTTGGTATCTTCTTCCTAACATCATGACCCTCTCTATGCATCCTTTTACATCATCAATCAAACAGAGTTCCAACGAACGTGCATGTGTGTAGCACGCCTACTGAACATTTGCTGACAGGTTTTCGTCAACACATGGTGGAATGTGGAGGAATCCTCCAAAAAGCCAGTCATGGTCCGTGCTTCCTGGTCCACCACCGCCGCCGCCGTGGGGGATCCAAACCCCAGATCCCACTCTCCCTGGTACCGGTCCTTTGGTCTTTTTCCGCGTGGACCGATGGACCGAGGGATGGTGGACCGTCGGCCAAGAGCTGCGACGTAGCCATCGCGACTGACAAGAAGACGGATGGCTATCTTGGGTCTATCCTGGCCAGACACTAGGTGAAGGAGGATGCTTCAGTTGCAGGGCCTTTCTGTTCAACAAGCTGAGTGATACACGTTTCCTTGTTGACATGACTTCCTGTTGCAGCTCCGATGGAGCGGCAGAGACGTTTCCACCGAGGCGTCCCACGCGCTTCGCGAGGCGTCCCGCGACCTTCTCCTGGTGACCGGTCTGGGCGGTCCAGCGGCCCGGACGAAGAGGGAAGGAGTCCGGGGAGAACGGAGCCGTCTGGTTCGGACAAGACGAGCTGGTTAGTGGATGTCCGAGTTCTGAAGAAGTCCACCCTTTTTGGCGAAGATATGACATGCAATGCAGAAAAATTGACATACACTTAACTTATATATAGTAGTGTATATACTTGTCTGGAGTGAAATCTTGACAAATCTGGCTTCCACGCTGAGGATCATCCTGTTCAACACAACGTCTGAAAAACGCAACGAAACAGCTCCACCTCCCGACAAACTCGACAAAAATGAGGTCGTTCTGGCTGGCCTCACACGCGCGGCTTCACGGGATCGACTGCGGCGTGGTCTTCGCCGCTTTTTCGCGAGCAAGCGGCGCCTTGAGGTCCAGCGCCGGTGGTGTCAAAGCGGCCACACTGGTGGCAGGTGAAGGCAGTCAAGACCTCGCCGTGGCACGAGGATCACCTCCCATGCCTGTGGGTCAGTCATAACGCGCCCGGAGAACGAAGTCGAGTGATCTCCCTGGTGGGTGGACCACATCAGGTCGTCGGTTCATGTTCATGTTCCAATACCATGCAGGGTGACCCAGTGCGAACCATGACCACATGTCACTGGTACCTGGTTGTTGGGCTGCTGTGACTTCTCCATTGAGTCCGGGGGACACCTTTGGATGGATCAACTGAGAATTCTCTGAGAATCTGCACCTTTCCGGATCGATTGTTGGGAGTGTCAGGCAGGAAGCCTTTCTCGCCTCGCTTCTCTGTCCGGGCGTTGTGTCTTCACTCAAAAGCTCCGAAGCCCCGGCGACGTCCCGAAGGAATGCTGAGTTTGCAGCTGCTCGCAAAGGATTGGACAAATGTCGATCGGGTTGCCATGCTGGTCTCATGGCACCGGTTCCGGCCACTACACATGCGGTAGTCAGGCTGGACCCGGTTCGGTCCGGTTTGGTCTTCTCAGAGGGTGGCCAGATCTGGAACATCCACATGAATCATTAAAGTTAGATTGTATTCAGGCATCTTTAGCACAGAGTGCATGGATTACCAATTAGTGACAATGGAGTGAGTCCAGACTTGCTGTATCGTGTCTCTTCACAATCACATGCCAAAGACTTTTGTGTTGAATATGAGCTGCTAAACAATCCAAACTCTTCCAAACTAATTACTTAGCTGCTTAGCTCTTTGTTCATTGATCTCCTCCATGCTTCACATCGGGACGTCTCCACTCCCTTACTGAGTGCGATCGATGGATCGTCTTCTTCGGTCAATGATCAACAGCCATTGGGTTTTGGAACGTGAACGACTGCTACTCGCAAAGGCCATGTGGGCGTGGGGGGGGGGTGTGAGAAGACGGGTTTCCGTAAAGAGTGTCCCTTATAAAGCAATTCGGAATTCGCGTGTAAAGTGGGTCCGCGACTCGAGAGTCGTGCACCGGATCGGCCCACGGACCGGCGACCGGTCGTTCACTCGCGACGTGTCGTTCGGCGGCTGGTCGTTCGCGCCAGGCTGGTGACGGCTGACTGCCCGACCTTCCAAAGAAACCTGCCCCCCAATCGAAGACCCCCGCGCCCCCACTGACCCCTTTCAAGAGTATGGTTTTTTTCTGAGATCTTGCTCGGTGATCGGATCCCTGTGGCTCTGCGGCTCAGAGCGGAGGAGATCGATTGCGGCCCGAGCGCGAAAGCGCGTTAACCAGCTGCCATGCAGCTGCCATGCTGTGTGATCTTCACACAAAGATTCATTGAACCTCCCTACAAGTCTGCCAAGCAAGAAGAGCAGAAGAGCCGAGTCAGTTAACTGGTGGGTCACCCAATTCGTAGCGAGCAAGAGAAAGTAGAACACGGTAGCCTTCAGCCTTGTGGCTCTATGTCGTACCACGTACCTCCGAGCCTCCGACCTCCGAGCGCATCATATGGGTCTGGCTCAAAACATGGGGTACCATCCAAACCTATCTCAAACCCCTGAGAGAGCCTCTGAGCCTTAGCCATAGCCATGCCATAACCCATGCACAGATCAGCATCCATTGTTTGGCAAACGGCAAAAAACGAAAAGAGACGGTGAAACACCACTCCTCAGCTTTCCTCAGATGGCTGCACTTTCGCAAAGCCAGCACCCTGAGCCGGAAGTTTCGTGGGATGAGGGGAAACAAAGAAAGCCTGGGCTTTGTTTCGCCCCAAGAAATGCTAGGAAGACTGTTCCAAAGAAAGACTCTTAAAAGAAACGATTGTGCCAATTGTGGCAAAAAACTTCTGAGGAAAGTCTGCAATCTTCTAAAAGCCTAATTAATTGTAGGGAACCACATACCTTCTCAGAAGGTACGACTGTCAGTACGACCGTACAATCCAAACCTTACATCAGCCTTGTCTCCAATCACATTCTCAGAGGTTGTGTGGAATCCATAGGGATTCATGCAAAGGCAGTGAGTAAATAGGCTGCTCCATCGTTTGGGGCATTTTCGTTGGTTGCGACAATCCTTCATCTTCAATCCGTAAAAAACGGCGTCCAAGAAAGAGCGTCCAAGAAACGGCGTAAAAAAAACGGCAAAAAAACGGCGCACCAAGAATCTCCAGCGGCGTTGGCGTGGCTTCTTCGCACCCATGTTCACCACCTGGCTGCGGAGGACTGAGGAGATGGAAAGGATCGTTTTCTTCCCGGAGAGGATCGGTTTGGTCAGACCAGCTTGGCTTAGTTGCCCAGGTGTCAAAGAACAAGAGTCTTGTGAGTGGTCTTTGGGTTACCATCAAGGTACCATAGTTACCATCAAGATCCACAAGTTGACCCACATTTGAGTGTGCATGGATCAAAACGATCAAACCCCCTATGCCCTAGAAGTCCAGTTCGACTATACTTTGACCATCTTTGACCAACTGAAGAAAAGAACATTCCTTGACTCGGGTCAGGTTGTAAACACCATATGTGAAATAGTCTTCCACTGCCAGGCTTTAAACAGAGCTTGACCTGATCAGGCACCATGATACTGAACGTTGCCGATCTGAAAGAAGCTCGGCGGATTGCTACTCGGCTCACGCTCTTGTGACCCACAGATTTGGAGCAAAGGCCACATGATCCTTGCCCAAGCATCTATTTCTTCGCTATTTCAACCAGAAAAAGAACGACGTCGCCTCGTCTGGTGCCGACATGCGCATGGTCCTCACAGAAAAAGACACAACGCTCCGCAACATCTGTCTGGAAATGATGGCCAGGACCTTCCATACATGGGCTTGTATTTTGATAGGGGGGCCTCCCAACTGATGGGTTTTAGTCTATGTTCTTTCTTCCAGAGGGTCTTTGGAAGGTCTCCCTATTTTAATACACACCCACATTCATATGCCAGTAGTTCCATGTTGGGATGCTGGAACTGGATGATAGGAACTAGATAGGGGTACCCAATCTCCACTTAGTTGGGGACCAAACCCTAAACCCGTTTGGAACTCCTGTTGAGAAGTTCCGCTTTCAGATTCTTTTAAGCCTATGGGTGAATCATGGGGAAATCAACTGATTGGTGATCATATGGTCCCACAAATGTGGCCACGGGCTCGTCTTAAGTTAAGGGGACTCATGCGTCGGGTCATCGAGCAAGAGGTGAGGTTTTGCATGGGTTGACTTTGGCTTACGAATAGCTTTCGGATGAAAGGGCTCCGCCCAGGTGCCCTAGGGGCTGTATCATGTTGTATCATGGTGGTCTTTGCACGTGGGGTTCAGGTGTACATGGTCGACCAGTGTGTCGATCGTACAAGTCAGACACGTCCCTCATCACTGCCTGGCGTGGTAGTATCATGTTGTATCACCCATAGTGTGAGATCATCCCCCTAATTAGGCCCTGGAGAAGCCCTGAAACACCTTTTAAGACCCCCGAATAGATAGAAAAGAAGATCCACACTTAGAATGTACTGGAAACCGTTTCTATCTATTTGAGGACCACTATAGAACCTGTCCGGACAAAAACATGGCACGTGGCGACTTCGACATCAGACCTTCACGAGAAAGTCTTGCCATGTCTTGTCAGCATAGCGCAAGGCCAGTGAAGTGTCGACATGTTTGTACGTTTGAATATGAGTAAGATTGAGTAAGTACAGTAGGTCAGAAGGTCTAAGGTCTCCTTCTTAACCTGATTCCAAACTCCAACCCCCACCATTTGGACTCAGAGACCCTCCCAGTCCAAGCGTTCTCGAACGCGCAAAAACCTGCCCAGCCCGGTCCGCAAGTCACCTGAACCGTTTCACGGGACCAGTTGCCACTCACTCAAACCGTCTCGTCCCAGTCGCCCGAGTCGTCCCAGTCGCCCCCAGTCAAGCCATGCTCCGCAGGCACCGTCGCCGCCGCGCAGTCGGAAGCGGCGTTGGTCGGTCCTCTTGAAGAAGACGGCGCCTGCTTGCACCGCCGAGGCACTCGGAAGCTCCAGGGCCCCCTGGGCAGACGCGGTGCCCACTTGGCGGTACCCTTTTCGTTTCGCCCGAACCACGGCAGGGAGCCATGGAAGTGTTGGCGAACCAATTGGTGTTGATGGAAAGAGTTCTTAAGAGCCCGAAGAACTCGGAGTGTTCGGGTGACGTACTCGCTCTTCATCGTTTTGCATGGAAGAACCCAGAACCCGCTCCCTTCACTGCGATTGCTTCGCGCGGAGGAACCACGGCGTCGACGGCCTCCTCGAGCTGTGCATGACCTCCATCCTCACTGGCATCATCCATGCTGCTGCGCGGTGTCGGAGGCGTGTCCGGATCCTGGCGGATGTGTTGGAACACCGCGAAGTTCGATCTTAAGAAGAGAAGATGCATCGAAAGCCTGGTGCCAAGAAACAGCAAAATTAAATAGAATTAAAGAAAACCTTAATATCATTTGAAGGAGTCATCAATATCTTCATATTCATCTTCATCATCTTCTTCTTCCTCTTGATCTTCTTCCCTATTGATATTCCTCTTCTTATTATTATTCCTTTTCTTCTTCTTCTTCTTCCTCTTCTTCTTCTTCTTCTTCTTGATCTTCTTCCTCTTCTTCTTCTTCTTCTTCTTCTTGATCTTCTTCCCCTTCCTCTTCTTCTTCTTCTTCTTCTTGATGATATTATGTTTATTCTTCTTCTTCTTCTTCTTCTTCTCCTTCTTCTAGCGTAGCTGCAAAAAAATGCAACAAACGCTATGAGGAAACCTTTCTAACACACCAACAACGACTCAAACAGGAGGGCAGCGCAGAAAGGTCTCCCTGAGACATATCGCTGATCCTCAGCGTCGTTCGAAGTGGTCAAATCACCCATCCTTTCAGAACTTCATGGCTTGGTTCTCCATAACCTTCACAGTGGTGTTGCACCGACCCTTGCAACTAGCGGGTGTTCACACCACGTGAAGGTTGGTGGAGCGTGATGAAACAACATCTATAAAGCCCTGCAGCACACCCACGGCCATGATTTCGGGCCTACTTTAAGACTTGAAGGGGCTTCCTTCGTTCGCTTCCACGGCCAAATCCTGCGCACCGCGCCCGTCCACGCGCTCGATCTGGGGCGACCCGAGCATTCGCTGGAAGGTGGGTGCATCCAGGCCAGAATCGGTGTCCGCTTGGGGCACCGCATGGCGAATCCTGCGTGTGCCGCGCGTGTGTGCGTGCAGACGCGCGCGTCTGCAGACGCGCGGCGCGCACGCGTGAGTTCTGATGGCGCCAGTGCCAGGTGAAAGCCAGGAGCATCCGGACTGGAAATAGTTCATACGTGGGTCATGCATGGGGTTAAATGATGTTAAATGTATCCCTAGGGATCCAGTCGTACCTTCTCAGGTTCGGTACGACTGGACCCTCCAAACCTACAGAACAGTGTTTCCGATCACCTTCTCAGAGGGTGGCAGTGGATTTTTAGGGTATGGACCTGGATCTTCCAACTATTAACATCTCTGCCTTACTCTCTGCCGAACTTGGGCATTTTATAGATGAAAAAGCAAACATGTTGCGGTCTATGCTGGTGGATGCATGACTCCCAGGTGGGGTACTTCGTCCCAGTCCCGGAACTTCTGACGTCGCTTCAGATGCTTGGGCATGTTCCGCTGAACAACACGGCCCGATGCTTCGAGTATGTGTTTTTTGCAGGTGCAAAGGAGGTCCCTGGCTTCAGTTTGACCCATTAAAAGAAAGATTTCATGTGGTCGTGGGTAGTCTAAAAATGTCTAAATCCTTAAGTACAACAATGGATCTCGGGTGAAACCCATTCAATCAATGGTGCTTCGAATTCGAGGAGGTACCATCGGATGGGTCCCTGCCCATTGCCGGGCTCCAACCATATATCTCCAGGTTCGGTGGCCCCAACACCCCCGTGGCACTCACCCGCCCCGGGGGCGGCCGGGGGCAGCCTGCCAGGTACATCTGGAATGCCAGCTCCACACACCATGATCATGCCGATGGAATAGGACCTGGCGCCAGGCACCGCTCACGCAAAAGAGGGCACCCAGCCACCAGGAGCCCAGCCGGGGCCCAGTTCACCGAAACACACAACAAGAATTCAAGGTAAGTATTAAGGTGACAAGGCCAGGACTTGATGCACAAAACCTCCTGCAAGCTGGCGCCAGGTGAGCCCATTGCCATGGCTATTGATGCAGCTCACCTGCAACAATCGCGACCGCATTTGGAGAAGCTCATGGACCGTAGAAGGTCGGGAGTCGGGACCCATTGAGGACTTTGTAGGAAGATGACTTGGGTGGTTGAGAAGATGACTGGGGTGGTGGTTTCAGAATGTGATGTGTCAAAATGATGCCATGTGGCAGACATGCAATGAGCTCGCTCGCTCGCAAGGCTCATTCCGTTTAATCCTGGTCGGGCTCATTCCGTCACCCCTTGTCTTTGGTTTTATGATGTTTGATGTTGTCACCCCACTGCAGGATCCGCTGGCGGATCCAGATCTGGATCTCCTCGTCTCCACCGCCTGAACCTCGTACTCCGTGCCAGGTGCTAGCCCAGTCAAGGTTGCCTGCGAAGGAGATGTGTGAGCGAGATTGAGACCCAATGAATGGGATCGGGTCGGTGGTCTTGCTCTTCCTGGTGGTCTTTTGCAGTGTCTGCGTCCCTCTTCTCATATCTCTTCTCGTTTCTGTGCAAAGATGAATGCTCAAAAGCCCCAACAGAGGTGGGTCAGAACCCTACTATAGACTATCCCATATAGGTACCCCAGGTGACGGGTCCCCATAAGGTCGCTTCACCTCTACCTGTGCGATGGGTCGTCCCGTCCCAAGACCGCGATCCGATGCCGGAAAGAATCTGCAGCAGCAGCAGCGCCCTTAAACCCCAAAACAGACTTGCCCCACCTTGTCCCCAGCCCAGCCCTCATCTCAACACAGACTCACCAAAGCTCCGAAGCTATGCCGTGCTATGCCTTTTTTTGTATGCCTGCTTGAGAACCAAGTTGTGACCAAATCATTTGCCCGTTTACGGGCTCCGAACGACCCATATCCTCAGGTGACCGGTGGGCACAAATACCCCCCTGGCACTCACTCACCCACCCCGGTAGGCCCCATCTTCGACAAGGAGGTAGCTGGTTGAATCCTTCCCGTTCCTCTGTTCATGCCGGCCCACACCGATCCAACTTCCGTACGTACTCTGCCTCCCAACTTCCTCCGTACTCCTCGGGGAGCGCTCGCTCCACCGTGTCCGGCACATCGACGGTGACACCACCCTCCTCGTCCTGGCGGAGCAGCGACTCTTTTTGCACCCTAAGAATCCGAGCTCGGGCTCTCCATGGCAGGGGGTCGGACCTTCTCCACCGAAACGCAGGGGTCTGGACCCGGTTCCCAAACCCTATGTGTTTGAGGGTCCGGATTCTTAGGGCAGGTTATAGTGGGCTATGGACTATGGCATGGGTTTCTTCCAAAGCACAAGACGCTGTCCCAACCAGAAACAGTTCTGGTTGTTCCACATGCACAGGGCGCTGCAAGTGAGATCCTTGACATAGCAACGTGTGGTTGTGACTGTGGAAACATCCATCAATGTCTGCTTGGGACCGGGTTTCCAGGTTACAAAGGGAACAAGAATGTCCCGATGACTTGGCAATGTGGTGGATCAAGAGCCTATCCAACTGTCCCTGCATATGCTGTTGTTAAAATCTGTTTTACGCAGAAGGCAGGTTGGTGAGAAACAGCATTGCTGGGGACACTCCAACTTCAGAATGTCCCTCATCAGGCTCAGCGGCTGAACCCAACCGGCAGCAGTGATGGGTAATTAGTCTGGAGTCCTAAGTCTTGTTCCAGTTCTTGGCATCCACATGTCAAGCCATGGTCAAATGACCAGCTGTTCGCAAGAAAACTTGCTGTCAGCTAAGTGATTGTGGGACCCTCCAACACTTGACATCAAATCATCCTCCATCATACACTTCAAACATTACACCGCTGCTAAACCACTCACCCAAAGTCACCGAATTGAGCTAAACCATGCGTTCACCACTCAGTGCACCCCATCATCCACCCCATCATCCCCACATCAACCTGACACAGTCGATTGCTCACCTGGACTCACCTGGCTCCACACGCCACACGCCACCGGGCCATCTCGCGCCTCTTTACTCTGCGCAGAGACCGGCACCGTGACCTGCGCAGCGTGACCGGCACCGGTCACAGCCATCGGCCACCGCGTTCCACACGGCGTTCGTTCGTCCGTGCATCATGGAGTTTGGGGAGTCTGGGAGCCGACTCTTCAAAGAAGAATCGCTGTCACTTCAGTCGTTTTGGCCAACTGATATCCATACCCTGAATAGAGTTGGGAGACGAAGCCATCTGGCTCCGAACGCTTTTTCACTTACTCAGCTATATAGTCTTATATAGTACTTATCGTGTGGGTCACCCAAATCCGCTTCCACCAATAGGACGATTCTCCCGAACTGCGGACGCCCTTGAACAACGACGTGTTTGTTCTCCTCGGTCGCGTTCTCGGTGCCCCAAAGCCGCGCGCCGCGCCTTGCCGCCCAGGGCCACATGTCGTTCCATCGGACCCGAGAGACGAAACCAGGCCACCTGGAGCCGAGGAACGGAGCCGAGGAACGAACCGCATCCGCGCCGGGGAACGGGACCCGTCCAGTCCGTCGGATCCGTCTGCTGGTCCTTCCAAACGAACACCCGTTCGGTCCGTTCGGTCGGCAGACTATAGGTCTGTTGTATAGAGTTGGAAGATCCAGGTTTTCCACCCCTGGATAGTAGCCTATGGTTTGGTGATGGATCGTGAGTCCCAGGTGACCTTCAATCAATCAATGGAACTTCTGGCTAAGCTCATGGGTAAGCGTAAGCTCATTCAATTTGAACACTTCTGGTGCGCTCGAGTGGGATTTATGGAGTAAAATCCGGGTCTACATGATCTTGAGGAAAAACATATATCCAGGAGATATTACTCCGATGAACATATCGCATGGAAGTGGAGCTTCCACTCTTTGTGGGCCAGGAGCTTCTCGTCTTCCCCGGTCAGGCCCAGACCGTTCACTTCCATGTTAAATGAGATCAGGTTAAATGCGTCAGAGCTAGGTCATAGTCTCTCATGGCTATGTTTGGTAAATTCTGCCTCGATGGGGTCAGAGTTCTGTCGAGCAGCACGGGTAGCCATGCCAATGTATATTGCATGCAAACCGAGTCACGGGCGAATCGCCCTCACATATGCAAAAGGACAAAGAGTCATCGGCATCGGTCATTTCGGTCTGACCGTCACGGTTCAAGATGATGCAAACCCCATAGGTAGGGTCCAGGAGCTCCTTCTTGGACTCTATATACTACGGAGCTGGTAAGTCCATATCAATCCATCAATCCTATAAGCGTATGTGAAGACCCCCCTAGCCGTCCATCCAAAACTGGTGTAATATATGGTCTTTGGCGAACAACCATTATTTAACAAAACCAAGTCCACCATTGTTCATGGTCTTGGAAGGCTAGGGAAGATGATGCAAAACTCATCTAAGCTAACCATCCGAAAATGGAATGATCCTGATCATAGCACCATCTCCCACCCAACAACGTGTTCCGTAGAATTCTGCTGGGAGGGACTTGGCCGCGCCCCGACTGGTGCCAGTTCAGCGGGACCAGGGATGTGAGGTACCAATCTACGTGGTCGAAAACAACGAAATAAGCAAAGAAAACAAAAACTTATGAGTCAGTGGGTTCAATGTCCCAAGTAAATGGTTGAAGCATCAGCATCTCTGAAACCACCACTACAGAACATGCAGGACATGCGTCCAGTTCCAATCCGTCCAAACCAGCCGTCTCCATTGCCCAAAACGACACGTGCCGTCGCACGCGCCTCTGCTTGTGTGATGCGGTCGCCATTGTCATACCTTAGAAGATTCAAACATCCAATCGCACAGACTCCATGCATGGCTCATTCTCCCCCAGACAGGGGCTCCGTTCGGCCCCCTTTTTCCAAGATGGGCCTACCAGGGTTGGGTGAGTTTGGGGGGTCTACCGGTCGAACCACCGGTCAGCCGGTCACGAATACGGGTCGTTCGCCCCTGGGGAGTCCCAGGGAGTCCCAGTCGGACACAGGAGCTCGGTTTCTTCGGACACAGAAAGAGTGAAAGCTTCGGTGGTGAGAAGATCGTCGCACTGGACGAGATACAATGACCAGCACCGACGGCCAACAGGTCACCAATTGAAACCTATTAGTTAGGGCCCTTCCCAACCCTCCAGCCATCGGAGACCTGTTGGAACCGGTCTCGTCTCGTCTCACTGCTTCTCTCATCGACATGGCGTGCATTCGGTGCTGCTTGCGTTTCCTGAGCATGCTTAAGCGCCCGACGGCAAGGAGAAGCCGACGTGCAAGGAGTCTTTCGTCGCCTCGAGCAGGCCCGACGTGCAGGGAGGGACACAGGAAAGCAAACTCTGTGGCTTTGAGAAAAAGAACATAAAACAACATGCCGACTCTTGGATTATAGATCTTCCAACTCTATGCAAAATGTCTGCCTTTTCATCTATAGAACCAGCCAAGTTCGGCATAAATTTATGAGAGTCTAACCTTTTTGGTCAGTTTGGGATGCACTGGCAGTCTTCCAAATACTGTACGCCAAAGATGCCGAACCCACTGCCGAACCCTAACCATGCCGAGCTGTGGTACGGTGTGTATTTAACCTAACCATCTGAACCTTGCGCAAGCTGGACCTCCAGGTCTTTTTCACGACCCCCCCCAAAATTCAATACCACCCCCAAACATCACCCCCCATCGAACATCGAGATGTCAGGTGCCATGTCATTCGTCACCTCCCGCCTCCAGCATCCACGGCGCCGGGGGTTCCTCTGGAGCCGCCGACCTCGGAGCCCGAGCCCCGGTGACTCACCGACGTGAGTGGGGGGGGTCGCCAGTGCGGTTGAGATGGTTCAGACTCCGGCCACCAAGGGGGCTTCAGATGGTTTCATCCATTCCAAGTCACTTCCGGCGAATTCTGGAGCCGCTTCGGCTTGGTTTTGCGGTGGGTTCGGACGATGGGTGGTTCAGCAGACCACCTGCCCCCCCCCCCCCAGATCGGTGTTTCGCCACGTTCGTGCGGTGAACGTGCGAGCGAACTCGTTCGTCCCCCGTCTGAGGTCGCCCGAACGGAGAGACGATGTCGTCCAACGGCTCCGACCAATCACTCCAGCCCTGGACGAGACGAGACGAGGCTCTCCGGGTGCCGGGGGTTTCCTTAGTGGGGGGACGAACGGGTCCTCTGAGGTTCTTCTCTCCAAATGGTGGCCCCAACGTTTGGAAGTAGAACGTGAAACCGAAACACGTGGTTTCAACACGTGAAAACCGAAGCACACGACGTCATAGACTGTCACACATGTCTCAGACTGCGCCGGAGAGAGCTTCATGGACAAGACGATCTTCACATCCATGTCGCTCATCAACCAACTTTATATACAACTCGTGAGGAGTATATTGTGTATATATATATATATACATATCATTACATATCAACAGCTGGATCTTCACAGTCTCCGTTGAGGAGTATCTCCGTTTGGGATCCATCCAGTCGTACCTTCTCCTCCTCAGGTTCTGCGCTACGACCGGACCCTTCAGGCGATAGATATGTGTCGATTTCAATCACCGTACCTGAGGTTCGGTACGACTGAATCCTATAGGGTTTACAACTCTTGAGGAGTATATTGTATCAACAGTTGGATCTTCACAGGACTCCCTTGAGGAGTATATTGACCACTGAAGTCTACGTCGCTCATCGACCAATCTCCCAGACCCCACGACAGAGGGCCTCTACATTGTGTGCCCTGACTGCCACGGCATAGGGCAAGCCACCCAGGAGCCCTTCAAAGATATGATCCTCAGTGGCCGGAAAAAGAGATGCACAAGCGGGATCACTTGGAGGTTTGGTGGCACCACAGACAGTCTGTGTTTGGGTGTCTAATTACATCAAACCGCCACATGTGTATGGTGACCGTCGAATCCCGAGCGGTGTTCAAGTCGACGCTGTTCGAAAAGGATCTTTCCCGCTCAAAGTTTGGACCCAACTCATTTCGCGGTCGTGGTTTGGACCCGGAAAGGGTCCCAGGGCCAAACTTCAGCAACATGTAGCAGTTGGTTCAGGTCAAGGGTCGCCTCTGGGTTGTATGCCTTGCTGTTCAAGTGGATCTTGAAGACCTGGTAGATTCTGGTAGATCGACCAACAAGAACCCTGAGAACATGTTGGGATTGTTCCATAGTTCCATATATATAGATCTACGTCAAAAAAAGCGCCTGATGGTTGGATCCCAATACTTGTTGGGGTCTGTCTTCGGATCAGTGTCCCACTCATCTTACATCAAACGGCTGTCTTCGTCCAGCACCCCGCACGGTCCAACCATTCGCTTCGAAATCGCGAAGCTTCGCTTTCGCGTTTGGGGAGCTCCCCAAACAGGCGAACTGGCGAGACCAACGGCTTACGAAGTGCCAAAAAGGGAGCTCCCAAATAGATTAAAGTGATCCCCATGCCCAAACACTCCATGTATATGCCATAGGACTGCCGATCAATTGACCCCCTGGCACCACCCCTGGCCTGATTGGCAGTCCGAACTGGCAGTCCCAGACAGGTCGTGTCTCCCCATATGGTCCCCATATGATCGCTTTGTCGGTGAACATCGTCTGGGCTCCCGAACCGGCTCTTTCGGATTGGTGAACTCCTCCACCTGCAGCATCGACGGATTGGCGCGCGCGCGCGCGCGCGTGTTCACCCATGCAAGTGTACACCCCAAATTCACGGAGGTCCGAAGACAAAAACCCTCAAGGCCGCCCTAGAAAAACACACCGCAAAAATGGTTCCCGCAACTGTTCGAAGAACACGAGGTTGCGGCCCCACCATCGCAGACCGAGAACCTTTCACGCAGGTGACGGTGCCCGGCCCCCGCTGTGCGGGGCCTTGATGCCATGGAATTCCCTCACGGGCAAGGCATCCAGCAGCTCCTTTTGCTCCTCGCACATCGGCCGAATCGGCGGGTCCACGTGCGGTGTGCAGCGAAATGCAATGGGGTCCGTGCGACCGCGACCGCTCCAATGTGATCCTGGTTGATTGGGGTCTGACTTCCGCGACCGGGCTGCAGCCCAAGCGCGGAAGAGGGCCTTCCCGTTTCATGTGTCTTGATAGCGGTTCCTGCTTCGCTCCCCACGAACAGGTGTCAAGCCTTCGAAAGAGGAGTGCCCTCCGGTTCGCCCGGCCGGCGGGTCTTGTCCTCATCGGTCTCGCACTGGTTCAAATCTTCAATGAGCTGAGGGACTTTGGCCACCTGAGAAGAAAAGGGCATATATTTTATAGAATAGACCCCCAAATAGATGGATAAGTGTTCTTCCCCACTAAACATATATTGGACACCGTGCCAGCCACTATCTATTTTGGGATCACTATAACCACATTTTACCGGTGATCGTCAGGTGGCCAAGAGTGTGATATCGCACCTCAGCCAGAGAAGGGTTCAGAAGATCCTCAACAAGGCTGAGCAGCGAAAGTGCACCGTACATCCCGAGCAGCCCACCGTCTATAGCTGATAGCCCTATGGTAGTAAATTCCCAGAAGTCTCGAACTCTTGCAGGAAAAGAAAGGACAACAACGTGGCAAGAACCTGTGGAAACAGGTCGTAACTCCAGTTTGCCATGTGACAAGGACCCAAATATCACCGAACAACTGCCAAATTCCCCCTGCCACACACAGCACTGCCAATAACCTCTTCGCGACTGCCTCACACAGGACCATGATTCTTCACCTTTTTAGTCGATGCTGGGCCCCCTTTTCTGATGCTTTGGGCCTTCCTGTCCAGCAGGTTCCAGCCATCGTGTCTCCACTTAGCAAGAGAGGTTAAGTGACCCTTATAGGACCCACCGGGGTGCCTATGGGATATTCGAACCTAGGGATCTGACCCACCTCTGTTGGTATGCCTTCCTTCGTCCAAGCTTTCCACCTGAGCTTGGTCCGCCAGGAAGACCTCGTACTTGTCGATCGCACAGCCTCGTGGCCGGAGGTCATGTCATGCTTCCCGCCGATCGTTTCGGATCAAGTCCAGGGATGACGGAGCTATCCAAACGGCCGGAGGATTGAGCATTGGAATCTCGCAGGCGAAATGGATTGCACCCCCTGGACCAAGGGGGTTATAGGACTTCTGGGACTCCATGTTCCGAAGCTGGCGAAGGTCACTCAGAGGTCTCCCCATGGTCTCCCTATATGGTGCTACACGCGCATGTCACACCCACCTGGCAGATGATGGCTTCATGTGGCTTCATTGGGACCATGGCACCCGAAAACCTCACGGTTTGCCCCACCAAACATGAACCGATCTTCTCTCAACTCGGAGGTCCAAGCGAACCCAACATCCTTTCGTTGGAAGAGGTATTGGACTCGCAGCCGAATCCCAACAACTCCGAAGAGGTTTGGCTGAGTCTACACACCATGGCTGTCTGGCAGGTTCCATCGGAAGACGAGCTGTTCCTGGAGGAGGACGATCGCACGAAACATGGGCCGCGACATGGTGCAACCGGTGATACCCCTAAGAGCCCGAGCACGGATTCTCAGGGACACTTCTTTTTCAGAAAGAATCCCTATACAGGTGAGTGAGTTGGACCTTACCCAAACCCATGGGACTGCCATAGGACTGCTGATCAGGCCAGGGGTGGTGCCAGGGGGTCAATTGATCGGCATATATGGCAGTCCCATGGAGTGTCTGGGTTATGTTACGTTGACATTTGCATTTGCACTTCTCAATGAGGTTTTAAGGACCTGCTGACTGTACCTGGTTTGGACCTGGGTCAGACTGGACCTGTAGGCCTGTAGGCAATGTACAATGCCCAATGCCCTATAGAAGTCCAGGACGATCTGACTTGCCCCTCCTGAGACTTTCAGGAAGTCTGGAAACCTCGTTTCGGGGCCGCCCCGTAACGGCGCCCCGAACCCGTGTTGGCCGGGAAAGACGAACCGTCTCCGTCTCTATCCGGCAACACATGGATCTCGTTCAGGGGCCGCCCCAGTTCCCCAAATGATCCACTTTGGACGCGAATCTCCTGAGGAAACTTGGTGGCTTCTCTGGGGAAGTGTCCAAAAGCTAAGGGCTGACCTGAGCTATAGAGGCCAGAGGAATGTGGACAGCAAAATGTCCACAAATCAAACAGCTTCACCCTGCAACCCAGCACAGGATCTGGTGCGCGGTGAAGCTTATCCTTTTACCACCCCCCACTTCAGATGAGTCTGGACTCTGGTGCTGCTCTTTTGGAACCTTCCAAAGAGCTTTGTAAGGACCTTTGCTTCTAAACCCTAGGGATCCAGTCGTACCTTCTCAGGTACGGTGATTGGAGAGACTGTTTGATGTCGGTGCCAGTCGTACCGAACCTGAGAAAGTATTGAATTGGATCCCTACTGGACCCCCAGTCGGGGTGGTTGTCCTGGACACCTCCAAAAACAGCTAAGGGGCACCCTAAATAGACACCCCTTGAGCCTCGGAGGGTCCTGGTTATAGGAAATGTACCACCTCAGGTACTACGTCAGGTACCTCCCCCGTCCTCGGTCCCGTGCGCTTCAAGGCCCTCCACCCCCGCCCCAGCGCTCCATGTCAATATGCTCCAGGATCGGCCGCTTGGGTGGCGCTGGCCTTGCGGGCGTTCGGTCTCGTTCCACCCGGTGCGGCGGATGAGTTGGTTGGCCCGAAAGCCCAACAGAGGTGGAACATGGTGGAACGGTTGGTCATACCAAACACAGGTTCAGCAAGTCAGAAGCCACTGTGGAGTTCTCTGGGGAAGAAGCCTTCTTGAAGATAGCCAAGCCGCGAAACGTGCCTAACCTGATTCTCGTTGAAAGAGAAGTGCAACCAATCGGAGGTGTTCCCACCCCAGCTAGGCTATTAAATCACTGGTGGGCCAGGAGGCCACTCTTCCAACTATGCAAAAGGCAAACATATTTACACAGTTGAAAGATCTATGTGTAGGTGTAGTCTTCCTAGCCAAGCCACAGAGACTTCTTCTACTCATCCCCAAAACCCATCCCCAAACACTCCATGTGACTAGGCATATCTATGCCTACATGGACCCCATTTCAACCAGTTCAACTGATCGGCAAATATGGCAGTGCCTGGCAGTCCCATGGGTGTCTGGGTAAGGAGGTTCGACTGTGACTAGAAAAACCATGCGACCTGAGAATGGATCTGAATGGGTCATATCTCTTCGAAGGTCCCAATTTCTTCACGTCACCGCTCGCGCCACTGGCCAAAAAGGGACCTGCCTCACCTACTGCTGGAAAAGTGGTCTTCAAAAAGGAAGGTCTACTGCCTATTGCGGACCTTCAGCCCTCTAGTGGTCCCTATTTACTGCCTACAGTAAGTGTTGCAGATTCGCATATCTCTATTTTCGGTCACCAAACCAATGGTCACCAGATAGACATCGGTCACCAAACCAATCGAGTCGGTCCACGTGGCGAGGAGACCTCTCCCTCCCCACCTGCACGCTCCCGTCATGAAGCCCTCCGAGACCTCACTCCAGAACGACCTCGGGAGCGACGGGAGCGACGGTGTCCACGGACGGACTGGACCGGTGAAGACCGGACCGGTGAAGACATGGACCGATGGGCGATGAAGGCGTTTTTTTCCAACACAAAGCGGACGTCGGTATTGATAGTTATTCGTTCCTTTAATTTTTATAGATTATTCAAATTGATAACTTCCATTTTTATAGATTATTCAAATAGGTCTTGGCTGTCATCAAGATCTGTCCTTCTTTACCGTCACGTCTGATATCAATTCCTCACCATTGATGCAGCCCACCCGTAGACCTGGCCCTTACCCATGTGACAAGCTTCGGAAGGCCTGGATTTTGAGATGCGATGATCCCCCACCCCTTAAAGCAGGACCCCCCCCCCCGGTGACATCGGCACCCTCAAAAACACTTCCCGGCTCCTCGTTCCCTCCGGCTCCTCGTTTCCCACCACGGCATCCCTCTGAGCTCGCCGAACCAACCCACACCGTTCTTGATGCGGACCCTAAGCGAAGAACGACCATCTTTTCGCTTCAAACTTGTGGAGCTGGGAAGAGCTGGGTGGGAATTTTCACGCATGGATTTCCTCACGTTTATTTCTACCTGGACTGGACTGTCCTGGCTGGACGTCTCCAAGTAGTGGGCTGGGTAGTCCAGCCAGCTGACCCAAATAGGATGGTCCTGGTAGATGACCCTGAAAGAGGGAGCTTCTCCCTCCATCAACCGGCTGAGGGCCCGAGGCCTGGGGCCTTTCTTTTTGGTTTCTTCCACCGCAAAAAGCTGGTGCTTGGAAAGCAAAAGGTCACTTTCTTCATGTCCGAGTTTCATTTCGCAAAAAGCCTCCGCTTCCGCTTCAGCTCGACACCGACCCCGACACCGCGCTCCGCGCGCGAAATCGTTTGGGACTTGCGTCGGCGGGGGTCGCCTGACGTCACCGGAAAACACCCGAACCGACGGAAGGGACCGGGGTCGCCTGCGGAAGGGCCCGGAAGGTTGGACGGAGCGTCGTGGGCTGAACGACTGGGCTGAACGACTGGGCGAATGGCAATGAATGGCTCTGGACAGTGACGCCTGGAGATCTCTCGGAGAAATGTGTCCCTAGCCAAAACAAGGAGCCCAAATGAAAAGATGCCCCTTGATCCTCGATCACAGATATTTCAGAGTCTTTTTGGAAAAAGACTTACAGTATTTGTAGTGGTCCCCAAATAGATAGAAATGGTTTCCATGTGGGGATGTACGAACTTCTATCTATTTGGGGGTCATGAACTACGTAGTTCATCGTCATGCAGGTCATGCAACCAATTAGAAGACCCAACTCCATCAGATCTCCCTTGTTCACTATCCAGACACACTGCCGCCAACACAAGACATCGGCCAAAGCACTTGAAGTAGTAAGTCGTGGCATACTCAAGGTCTTCCACATGGATCTGTCGCGTGGTCAGGCGAAGACAGGAAGGGTTGCGCAGCTGCGCATCGCAAACACTCCATGTGCCAGCAGTTAGAGGATAAGGGTGCCCATTATCCACTCACTGGATGGGACTAAAAGCATCTAAAAGCCATTCCTTTGGAACTGCTGGTATGATGATTTACATACCGACATTCACGCATTCGGCTGGTTTCAGGGGTCAATGTAGGAGTGTCTGCCATCAGCACCAAGACACTTGGGCCAGCTTGGTGCAACAGCAGTTCCACAAAAGCAACGATGCGCAAGGGAAGGACATGGACCACAGGTTTATGACCCATACATTCCATGGGACTGGCATATTTACCGATCAGTTGGGGTGGTTTGAGGGGTCAATGTAGGCACATACATGGAGTGTATGTCTTCCCTGGCCCTAGTGTTCAGTAGAAGTTGATGGACATCTACGAGACAAATTCAGCCGAGATACCCCTCTCAAACTGGAGGAATTCGGAACAACACACATTTAAAAGAATAACTGGTGCCAGACGTCCCCTGAGCTTGAAGAAGTAGTAGCTCTCTATAGCCAGCTATAGATTGAACCTATATCAGATCCTGCAAAATCCAGACTGCTTCAGTGTTTCCTATTTCGTCCTGATCATATCATATATTCCCTCCAAACAGCTGTTTCCAGGTGCTTCCAAACAGGTGAAACACCAGGTCTTTGCTCCTGACACCGAGCTTTTTCTCAGCTCCGAGCTTAAGCACCTGCCCGTTTCGACCCTCGAAGAACCCCTGGCCTGGCGCTCCTCGAAAGATTTATGCGCCACCTCGTGCGGCACCTGCCATGTGTTTCAAGCGACTCAGCTACTGCAGTTCCATGGCGAGGTCGGAACTGGAGGAAGCCGTAGAAGTGTTCAGAACATCCACTGGATGTGACGGGTAACATGAAACTCCTGGCATTTCATTCCATGACCTTCACTGTGTTTGTTCCCCTTTCCGAGGCTACACATCCACTGCACCCGTCTGGCAGCAGCTCGACGTCTCCAGCGTCTGGCCGGGTCGAAGCAACTCGAGAACTGCACCTTCGTCAACTCGCGGCAATCGGGGTCGAGAGAATAGACGAACTCACAGCCTCGCCCCGCGGGTGCTGCCAGCGGTTCAGCTGTGCTTCCGCGGGCGGTTTCCACGGGGTGGGCCCGAAGGTGGAGGTAAAGCAGCCGAAGTGTTCATGTTCAATCAGGTTCAGGGCCTTGCTGCTCAGAGACACGTCCAGCAACAGCATGTTGTCGCTCAAGAACCAAAGGGGATGCTAGAGAAAGATACAATGAGTGTCTCTCTTCAGTCTTGAGTCTCGTCTGTTGCCCCTTGGATGAGACAGTCGTGTTGCACCCATCTCAAAGCTCCAAGCTCGCCATATAGACGTCCCTTGTAGCATTGTAGCACGTATTGCAAACAAACTAAGAATTAACATGTGATGTTTGTCTACGAGTTTGTTCTTGGTTACACCCCTTGTAGCATTGTAGCATGTACCACACGTAGTACCCGGGGAGTCCAGCAAACACGAGACGAATGCTTTGTCTGGACGAGTGGCCCGACGACCCGAGCGCCTCGGCGACCCGGCCAGTCTCTGGACCGGAGCCAGATCGTCAGATCGTCGATCAGCTGGACTTTCGCTTGGGCACTGGGCCAGTCCCATTCCCTATATCCATTCCCGTTTCAACCGGTCCAGTCTGACTCAGTCTTCATTCCTCCTCAAAACCTCAAAACCTCCTCAAAAACCGGATAATATGATAATCAGTGTATCAGAAGAATCGTGGTTTCAGCTGCCCCTTCTTCTCATCTTCCTCGGCCCATCCCATGCCACCGTCTTGGCCGCACCGGTTGTCCGGGCGCCCCGAGCTTTCCAGGTCCGAACCCCGGAGCCACGGAGCGGTCCAGTGCACCTGCGTCTGCGTAGCGACTCATCCGACTCATCCGCGCGACCGGTGATGTCCTTGTGACCCCCATCGTTTACATAGTCCCCAAATTGTTGTGTTAAGTGTTGTGTTTTTGGTTCTCGTTTTGTTATAGTTATACCATGTTATACCCTTAGTCCTTGTTCTTGTTCCCAAGATCCAAACCGCCTCCTCCAAAGCTCCGCCAACCCAACCCCCTCTCTCTCTCTCTCTCGGTGCCCGCTCCGTCCAACTCCACCGCGCGTGGCTTCCCAGCAATGGGACACCATAGGCCTCCACTAACCTGGCCTCTAATTCCCGTGGATGAACACCGTCTCATGGTTCAAGACAAACACAAAAGACACACAGAAGTGTGTCAAACCACCTCTTTGCCTACCGGAAACTCGTCTTCCAACCAGGTCATGCTCCACTTCGATCCTCCTTTCTTGATTGGCAAGCACCTGCAACACCTGAAAACCTGCACAACCAGGTTGCCCCTTCGGCCGCCATACAACCGACCCTCTCCGCTTCGCTCCTCCAATGCCGTGGGCCACTGCCAAGGCGAGGTGGGTTTCTCCTTGGGTCCGACGCGTCCGGAAGGGTCGGGAGACCGCCACGCCTGGGAGGGAGACCCCTGTTGTAAGACATACCGATCGATCTTCCAACTATACAAACAAATATGCCTTTTAGTGTGTAAAACCAGCCAAGGTCGGCAGAAAATTTGGCATAGTTGGAAGATCTAGGTATACCGATTATAATACATATACCTGGATCTTCCAACTGTGACACATTTCTCCCTTTTCATCCATAAAATCAGCCAAGGTCGGCAGAAATGTGGCATAGTTGGAAGATCCAGGTATATGCATGCAATATAAGTTGAGTTCCTTCGGTGGAAGAGCCTTCTTTTTCGAGCCTCTTGGCCGAGATGGTTTCAGACCCCTGCAGGGAGTCTGAGAGCCACGACTGTCTGTCCGCCAATGGGCTGAAAATGAGAAATCATTCCTGGGATGTTCACCACTTTAAGGTCTTTCTCCACAACCAAATGTTTGCTTGCCTCAAAATATCTCCAAATATTCAAACCCTATATAGCCTTACAAGACCATAAAAAGGAGAGGTTGACCTGGTTTTGTTGTGTAAAAGCAATGAGTGTTCAGGATGCAGGCCATTAAATTCAATGGTGGATGGAATCCTACAGGGCAAAGGCAATCAATCGATAGACGTTGAAGCTGCTCCAAGACTCCAAGATCAGAAACCCCGATCCTTGATATTGCGCAGCCTCCTCAGATTTACAACAAGTTGGAGGCCTTCGATCCTGATCGACTTCATGCAAAAGTCTCAGACCGCCGTCCGTCCGATCTGCGTCCGTCCGTGACTCTGTGTAGGGTCGACACCGTCGACACCTGAGTCCTCCCACGGGTTGGCTTGGATAGTCTGGCGGTGCAATCTCCGGAGCACTGGCCACGCCCCAGCCCTGACCGTGGCGTCGAAGGCATTTTGGGAGGCCGGGCAGGCGGAGCGGAGGTCACATGTCGGGGTGGATGTTCTGGGCACCCCTCACCTTCATTAAGCACCCCTTTTGGTACATCGTTTTATGATGATCTTATGAGGATCTTATGTTTGATTGTTTGTTATCTTTAATAACACGGCTCAATTAGGATTCTCCCCCCACCTAGTAACAGCCCAGATGTTCCACTCTAGTGGAGGGACAAGCAAATCTCACCCGTTTGAGGTTTTTAAATATCTATCGATAATCCATATACCTGCACCTTCCGAACTCGGGGTCACCTGGCTGGTTTCGCCCCAGCCCACCACTACTAAGGGACCTCCAGAAGCTGGAGACCCCGAAAGAAGGTCCAGGTATATGAAATATCCATGGAATATCCTCAGTCCTGGATATCCTCTCCCCGTCCGCATCGACCGGTCTCGGGTGGTGGGCCTTGGCGTCGCCCACCACGGAGGTGGCGCGGACGTAGGCGACGTAGGGAGTGCCCGGGGTCAAGGCCTCCACGGTGCGCGGTCTCTGCGCAGATCCATGCGCCACGGTTGAAAGAGAGAGATGGGTTCGAAGAAAAGGCGTTCACTACATATACCAGGGTTGCCAAAGGGGGTGTGAAGTCTTCATCTATCAAACCGCTCACTGTTCGACGTAGGCAACCAGCTCAGCAGGATCCAAACCCTAAGAAATGGTCACAGTTTTGGGTTCCAAATTTCTGTCCGACAAGGGCTTTTTGGGTGGCTCTTTTGGGCGGAAACGACTGGTCTCGTGCTTGGGAAAAGCACGTATATAGACACATCTAATTCTAAATCATTCTAAATCATCTAAGATCCGCATGCAGTACTAAACTGGGGAGATTCCCGTGAGCCCCAACAGCTTTAGTCCATACCATGCAGCACCACCCAGTGCTTGGTGCTTCTTGGGATGACGAACAGCGACTAACACATGGGATTCGGGGGGTCTATAGACTACCAGACCTGGGTGGTACCTGGTAGTGTTTCCCTTGCCATGAACCATCATGAACCCGAAAAAGGTCCGACAAGCCAAAACCGCTGCTGGAGTTTTAGTGCGTTCAATCCCCCACAAAAATGTGCTAACACCACCCCCAACATCAAAATCGAATTATACACTCCTGAGAAGAATCATGGAAGTGGAAAGCCACCTGTGCCTAGAGGAAAATAATGGAACATGGGCTTCGGGGGGCCATCTTCCTCCATCTTCCACTTCCATGACCCAGACACTCCTGGAGAATGGTAATATACCTATCTTGGGGTGGTTGGAGGGGTCAATGCAGGCAATGACATGTACAGACATGGATGATTCCTGGGCAATATCGACTTCTTCGGAGGGATGGGAGTCTCGATCTCCAGCCTCCGAAACGTCCCTCGCGCACATCCGTTCGTCCCATCGATTGGTTCACACCGGTCCAAAAGGACAAGCCTGGTCACATCGGCTCGTTTTGTTGGCTTCTTCTTTGGGAGGGGGGGCGCATATTCACGAGAATGTTCACCGCACTCAAAGGAGCTTTTTGTTGATTACTTTCGAGAGTCATTACTGCATTTCCTCCTTCGTGGGCACTCCATCCACTGATCTCGAAGCAGTTGGTTGGACCTGGCCTTGTGGAGGTGTCCAACTTCAATGGTTTCACCCATGACCCAGCACCTGGCGAACGGCGAACGAACAGCGAAGTTGCGACAAAAACCCCCGTTTTTGTCAGAGCAATCAAGAGGAGCCCCAAATGGCCGTGTCATCTTTATAGGTGCTGGAACTCGGAGTAGGAAAATAGGTCAGGGCTCTTCACAGAGGTCAGGTCACATCCTTCCAATCCAATTCACAAAAAGCTACTGCGCCCCTCCCATGAAACTGCTGGAACGATGGGTTCTTTCAGTCTTCTTCTGGCAAACATCATTGTTCCAGGATCCATATCACTCGGTTCGACGGTTCGATCGTTCTTGGAATTTTGGGGGTATGGTCTTCCTAAGAGTAGGTGGGCACGTTGTTGGGGGCTCCCATATTGATGTTTCCAGGATCCTCCTGGCCAGGCTGTTTGTTTCGACCCGACCACAGGTGGTTTCTATTACACACCGAACTGGTCACCAGGAAACATCAACGTCGAGTCGGGTTTATGTGCCAGTGTTGTGCGACCTGGTCCAGTTTCTGTACGAAAGGTCCGGGGTGCAGCACCTGCTGTCCTGTTTACCGGTTGTCCTTCTCCTTCTCCAACACCGGCCGTTGCCCGAAAACACACCGGAGACCTGGCCTATCCGGTGGGCATTCCTCGGAGATGGCGCGTGGTTGGTGGAGACGACATGGGGCGATAGACCCTCCAGCCACGTCGCCCAAGTTTAGGACCGATCAATTAAGTTAGAACTCACGAATGGAAAGGTACTCTACCACTCGACCACTGCACGATAATTCTATTCCTTCCTCAAGCGATGCATGAAACCAAGAAAAGCATAGAAAAGCATCATGCATAAATACCAGGGATCACATGTCGGGTGTTTCTTTGTCTCTAAGTGAGTGCACTTAGGAGGGTCCAGGTACGTATATTGAAATGGGTCACCCATCGGATCGCGGATCGCTTCTCTCGCTGGGCTCAGCATCGAACAATCGTGAACTCTTGTGGTTCTTCTTCCGAGGCAGGTGGTGGAGGAACTCTCCCACTGGCGAGAATGGCCTTCACAACTGCCGCTGGCCATCGGAAACGGCGGGAGATGGGAACACATGGAACCACGACTGAGAGAGGACACATCTCAGGAATGCTGCACAGATCATAAAGGTACGGAGTAAGAAACTGAGAAAGCTAACAATAGGCTAAACATGAATAAAAGCCAGAGTAGGCTAACCATGAATTACAAAGTCCCATCCCAACCGTCCCAACCTGCTTTGGATCCCTCGCCCGTTGATGGGAGCTTGGAACTCCATCCGACCAGCGCCTCTCCCATTTCTCCGCCGCACAAGGGGCCCTAAAAGGGAACACAATGGATGGTCTGAGAATTCCTGATGAATAAAACCCCCCTCAGCTGCATACATGGATGTTTGTTGAATTCCTGATCAATGAACCCCCTCATATAGAAAGGGTATGAAGAGCTTGTGCCATCCACATATATGAAAAGCTTGGTGACCCCAAGCTAACGCGCTCGTTCGCGCTTGTGGGCGGCCTCTCGGTCCTCTTCGGTGTCTACCCGGATCAACCTCCGCCGAGGTCCGGGGTCGGCCCGGCCGAAGGAACGGGACACGTGGACGTCGACGGGCTCACTGAGGCGTGTGCGACAGAAGGACGAAAAAGGACACTTTCTAGGGATCCGCTTCTTAAAGAAAGATGTAAAAAGGCTTTTGCTTGAGGTGTCCTTCTGGAGATTCCGGTGCGATTCACAAGAGTTGCTTCAGGTTGAGCATCTGACTTCAGCTTGAAGTACCTCAAGGCGGGTGTGTTTTGTGCTGCAGTAACCCTCAACTCAAACTGCCAAAGCGACTCGAGAACTCCAAGTGCTGGCTATGTCGTGTGCCGCTCTTGTGTGACGCGCACAAGATTGGCCGCCCCATCATATCTGGACATATCCATGTAGCCTTCAATGAATACAACCTCAGCACAAAGCCGTCTTGGGACAGAAGTTGATCAAATCATGCGAGGTGATTCATGAAGTGTTGCAAGAAAGAAAGAAACACCGTCTTCGAAAAGAGCAGCAGGAATCTCCAACACTTGGTTTTGGGCACAGTTTATTGAAAACTCAGGCTGATCATTTTTCTCCCAGCGCCGTTCCACCCTGGCCGCGGCATGCCGCGGCATGCCCCGTTCATCCGAATCTATGTTCCAGACCGGTGGTCTTCAGCCTCTGTCCTGGCGTCTCGTCATGGAAGGAGGTCACCCGGGGTCGTCTTCCACGGATATATCTCCGCGCGTGGTGGAGGAGCTTCGCATTGGTTTTCAGGCGTCTGCGACGCTGATATATGCAGCCCTTGAACAGCATCTGAACAGCCAACGAGTCAAAGCACACAGCCGCATAATTTGATGGAAGGAGCAAAGCACCTTGAGAAAACGCAGCATGCCATGCTGCTTGTGAACCAGAAACTGCCCAAGTCTATGCTACAAGTCGAGCTGATCCTGGTGGTTCCCTTGTAACCCCAACTGCAGCACCCCAGGATCTCAAAACCCCCGGGATGCCTTTCGAGAATCGGAGCAATCTCCATTTCTGCCGGGTTGTCCGGCTGAGAAGACAAGTCCTGCCAGGCCGCCAAGTTTCGGTGCGAACGAGGGCCACAGACGGCCGCGAGACCAGCGGGCCGACTTGAAGCATGATGTCCGTCACCCAAACGCTGGACCCGAATTCTCTGGAGGGGTCATGGGGTCTCAAATCCCTATGGTTTTGAGGGACCGGACGGGCCTGCCACATGAATTCAGATCCAGAATTCCAGGACCCGTGCAACGAGGAAGTGATGGAACACCGGATCCCAGAATCGAACCGATTCTGCCAGCCTTAGGGCAAACGTCCCTACAGAGGTTGAATGACCTTATAGGACCCTACAGGGGTACCTATAGGATAGTCTATAGGGTTCTTCAACCTCTGCTGGGATCCTTTTGAATTTGACTGAACAACCAGGCCCCAAGACTTTCGCGGGCGCGGCCGAAGGGCGCCTCGATGTCTGCATCCAGCGGGAGCCGAGACCAGCCCTTGGAACCGGACTGGCTTGGAAGGAGAGGAAGTCCCAGGCCCAAAGATGTTGCAATTCCCAGACACGACCCATGGCACTGCCATAGGACTGCCGATCAATTGACCCCAAAAATACCAATCCAACTGATCGGCATATCATATCATGGCAGTCCCAGACAGGTCGTGTCTGGGAATTGGTCTCTTTCCACCTGTTGGGCTGGTCCCGGAAAAACCGCACCGTTTGAACTTCCGATGGTCCAGAGATGTCGGGAGATCACAGCAATCATGCCCTCTGGCCATGGGTCAAAGCTTAAGACCTTTGGGCTTCTGCAAGGTTTCAAAGTCTATGAAGTGTACGGGACAAAGAAAAGGTCCCTGACACTTCACACACCTACCCTACCACATGGTGTCCAGGCTCAACATGAGGGACTGACTTCTCTTACCATATTACACCTGCCAACACTCCATGTATGGAACGATGGCAGGGCAGTCCCATGGATTGTCGGAACACCCAGACGCTCCCTGAGTTCACAGCCCTACTTCCGGTCCCGAACAAGACTATATAGGCATTGCTTCGACCCTGGACTCCTCCATGTGAGGGTAGCGTCTGGGTACCGACTTCGCAGGCGTTCCGGTCGCCACCCGTCGTGTCGCCTCCTTTCCCATCGCCGCTCTCGCTGGGCTTCTGCACGCCATGCCCGGCATCCGTCCACGCACGCACGATGGGCACCGCAGCGTCCCCCGGATGGAGACCCTGAGCACCGGAGCACCGTCCGGACTCCCAAACGGTGGAGACACCGGTGGGAGCGAGTGAAGACCGCGACCCGCGGGTTTGAACTCCAACGCCACCGGTGTTTTGGTTCGATGATGGTTCGGGGCAGTGGGTGTCCCTACAGATGAAATCCCTTGGACCCTCTACTTTGGGGACCGGACCTGAACCAAAGCCTTTCCATTGGCTCCGGCCCAGTTTTTGAGGGTATATAGATTGAAAGAACTGGCTCAAGAATTACAAAGCGGATGTCACATAGAGCCGCATAGAGTAGTAGCTAGTATTTGTTGGAACGGGATGAAGACATGATGAAGACTGTTCATGACGTCTCAATCTAGATTCATCAAGCATCTTCTCGTGACCTCAGATCAACCCAAGTCACAGAATCTGCAGAATCTGAAAGAGAAACATTTGATTAAAAAAAGAAAAACTGAATGATTAACCCACCATCAAATTTGAAAACACACCTTCTATTTGCTTCAAGATGGCCACGAGGCATCACAGGTCTCCTTTCAGCGATCTCGTTTGGTGCCCTTCTCCACGAACGGTCTCGTTCGATGTCTCGTTTGGTTGCAGGCGGTGTCTTCCAAAAAGTTCAACGACAAGATCTCTCAGTGACATGTGCTCTATCGACGTTCACAGCTGCCAGGTGTGCCGCAGCGAGCTAGAAAGACATCAGACCCATCGGGCGTGAAGAAGTGCTTATAATACCAGCACTTCAAAGGGGTCACCAATGGAAGCCCCTACACTACTAAGGGACCTCCTGGCTGGAGACCCATTGAAGGTCCAAGTATATTATGTGTCTGTCCCATGGAATCCCACTGGAAATGTGTTCAGCAAGTTGGATGAAGATGAGAGTGTTGAAGTGGAAAGATGTTCGGATTCCTTCTCCCCAGGTATGGCCCGCATGGCGATCCTTTCTTTGATCAACCCAAACGCGAACTCCTCTTCCAGCCATCCAATTTGATGCCAAAGACTCTGAAAGAAAACGCCTCTCTTCGGCCAAAGACACCTCTATGGGGGGGGAGGGGTCAGAAGTTTTAAGGACACCCACCAGGACCACCTCACCCCACCAGTCGACCCATCGATCGCTCGACCGGGCCTCCGCCACGAACTCGAAGCAGTCGGGGCCCAAGATGAAGCGCTGCGAATCCTTCAACAAGACTTCGATGTCCGTGGGCCTCAGCTACCCATCCGGACGCGACGCGCGACGCGCTAAGCACGCCAGACGTCCAGTCGAACCCGAAACCCATCGAGGAAAAGGTCCGACGCTGTAAGAAAAGCCTCCTTAAAGCTCTTACTGGTGCTCTTATTAGGGCTCTTATCGATTGAGCTCTCATGGCAAGGATCCAAAAGGGGGAGATAGAAGACCAGTCTTCTTGTCTTCCTGCCTGCGCCTGTTTGTCTAGGCTCGCCACGCAGGCTGGTAGACCTCATTGGGAATCCATCGCACCTGGCCGAATCGAACCATCGATCGGACGACCCGACCTTCGGACATACTCGATCGAACGAGCGAGTCGAAGGGTGGGATTCTTGGCTTGTTAGGAACTGGACAACATCCTTCCCCCATGCCAGGGGGGATTCACTATGATTCACTCAGATCTTGGGGGAAAATACACCTCATCCGACACGCGATCCGCACCTGGCTGGCTGGGTTTTCCAGCACAGGGTGTAGAAAACCGAAGGAACTGAGGGCATCACAAGGAATGGCACATCAAGTTGCCAGATGACATGATACATGATGACCAATGACCATCACACATGACTCAGTTCGCTCCTTTCGGATGCGAAACACGGCCCTATAGGAGCACATGATCGACATGATGACTCACACAGATTCATTCATGTAGACTCTTGATTAATAACCCCCCCCCATACAAAGAGGATTTTGCACTTCAAATGAGGGTGGTGATTAAAAAAAAAAAAACAGAGTCTACATAGTACGTGTGTTTAAAGATGACACCAAACACGACCATCACCAACCATCAACCATCAACCGACCATCACCGAAGCACCGGCCAAATTCGCCACCGAAGCCCGGCCTCGTAGCCCAAGATGTCCTCACCTCCGTGGTAGGTCGGTGCCTCGCTTCGGCGGCGTCACGTCCGCTCGGCCGGAGTGAGGCGATGTGGCGGATTCCGATGTGGCGATGTGGCGGATCCGGAGGTGGGCCGGAAGCAAAAGACCGTGGTGTTTTTGGCGCAAAAACGGTTAGAAATGGAATACTTAATGATGTCATTCATCTTAAAGGCATGTCTTAAAGGCATGTGATTTCCCTGGGGCTCCTGGCCTATCTCCTGAGAAGGTGGTTGGGGTGGGTGCCAGAGGGGCTTATATAACCACCTTCTGAGGATATGGTTGGAGCCCTGAAGATTGGATGGAAAAGACCAGCGGGGGTCCATCAACCACCCGACCACCGGCTGGTGCTGGACTTCATTGACCTCAGAAATCGACCGATCGGTGGTCAAACCATCCGTGAAACATGTCCAGATCCGGGCTTTCTTCGCGCGATCGAAATGCGATCGTATACGGAGGTCTTTCACCAAGTCTGCGATCCATCGGGGGTTTCCCCCGCATGCATGCGATCCATCGGATGGCCAAACGGGTGAATTGTCTGACCGAGCAAGAGACGGGTGTTCGTCCGGCCGAGCCCTGTGCGGAGATGGAGGCCAGATGATCTATATGATCTACCTGGATCTTGCAACTTTTCATGCAACATATATGCCGGCCTTGGATCCGACCTTGGGCCGTTTTGTGGATGAAAAAGGCAAAGACTTTGCATGGTTGGAAGATCTAGGCGGTACGACTTTTGGCTTGGAACCATGGTAGATCCATGTATGTCCAACCGACTGTCGACCCGCAAAAAAGGCAGTAAACGAACGAGCCAAGAACCAGTGGATGATAGTGGATGCCTGGAACATGTGGTCTTAGGCCCGAATCCGCCAACACTTGTGTTTTGCTCTTGGCATTTCTGGATTCATCTGGGCCATGTAATTGCAATGGAGTGAAGAGACTCCTGGAACCAACATCCGTCTATGTGTCCTCTTCCCCTGAAAAGTCGTTGGGATCCATCTTAGACCCAAAAAACCACCTGTTTGCTTCGTCGCACCGTCCATCCGTCATGTCATCTTCTTTGTTCCGTCGCACCGTCCAGGAGAACTTCACGCTGTTGATCGTGGCATCTCCTGCGAAGGCGGAAAGAAAACACGATCCTACCCACGCACTCCACCCGAATCCTTTCGAGGGATCGGACCTGAATCCTTTGGGGTCCGGTCAGGGGTCGAACCCATTGCTTTGGACCGGTCAGAGCTGTTCGGACTGGGTGCGCATGAGTCGGGTGGGCGGGTCGGGATGCTTTGAGAGGTCGCGGAGAGGTCAGGTCCAAGGATTCCCAAGGAAAGCACCCCGAACTTGGTGGACGACCCGTCCGCGCCGACGGTCGGACCACACAAGGACTTGGTGGGGCTGGACTCAGTTGGTTAGACAGAACAGCTGCGGCCACTTCTGATTGGTGCAGATGAAACTTCACCTCTCAGCATGGTTGAAATTTCTTGGCAGAACACATGCACCACCATGTGTTTTCAATCTTCTTCGTCACTGCATCTTGTAAAAACACAGTCTTCATTGTCTTCATTCCACTAAACCCCCCACTTCCCCCCCCACGGGGTGACCCAGCTAACCCCGGTGTCAACCGCCGCGTCGTCGACCGATCGGTCGGGCCCGTTCGGAAACCTGGGCATCCTCTGCATTGACTGGGCGGTCCCGGTTCCGTGGACAAGGTCTTCACTTCCCTGCCGCCACCGAGCCGATGCGGGTTCCGGTGCCGCGGCGGAGGAAGGTGACCGACGAGGAGGACGACAGACGAGGAGTGGAGACGTGGACGAGAGGACGAGAGTCTTGGCGGTGCGGAAGAGCTGACGCGGCGGAAGGACAAGAGGGAGATCATCTGAGATGATGGTCATCTTCATCAGCTGGGCTGATCAGGTGTGGTCGCCGGGGGTACAACTAAGTCTTTGAAGCGCCAGTGTCTGGTTCCTCAACTTGGTTCAACCCCCAAACCATCCCAAACCCCAAACCGAGCACCAAACTGAGCAGTTTGATTACACAATGGCAGGGGCCGGACTCGGACTCTGGATCAACCCCCTGCATGGATTCAAGTCACTGCCAGGGAGTCTCTGCCAGGTTTTGTCAAGGTCAATCTAGAACAGGGGGTCAATCTAGATTCGATCAGTTTGTCTAGGGGTCGATCTCTTGAACTCTTTTCAGAGTGACCCTACAGTAACCGAGCGTACCGGCTTCTCCATGGTGATCGTGGTCGGACCGGACTCTCCAGCGAGTGGAGACGCAAGGGGTTGTTGCTTTGGGAACCGGGCCCGGTTCCCAAACCCGAACGGTGTTGGGAACCGGGGCCCGGATTCTTAGGGGATGTAGAAATATACCTAGATCTTCCCAGTCTATGCATAATTTCTGCCTGATGATGGATGAAAAGGCAAACATGTTGCACAGGCAGGTCAGATCTGGTATTGGTCAAACCAAGCTGGAACTCATAGGAACCAGCCTGAGAAACTCGAGCTGTTCATTCCATGTTTTTTCCAAATGAAATCCGACACATGCAGAGCAAGCAGAATGACAGAAACAATATGAAACAATGAATTCATGCCATTCTTAGAACGTCGATCAAATCATTCTTCAACCCTGCAGTCACAGGTCGGGGTGCGATCCATGGGGGGAGTCGGGGTGCCCAGAACATCCACTCACTTGGGGACTAAACACCACCCCGACATGTGATTCATTCTTCAACTGACGTTCCAATTAGATTCCACTATAAAAGGAGAGGTCAAAAAACGGTTGCTTCACAAAGATGTCCATCCAACTCTTCCCCCTCCAAGCCACACGGACCGCGCCCTGAGAGAGTTGCCGCACTCAACCCGACGGCATTCTCAGCCACCACCTCCAAGCGAAACCAAAGGCGCTGAGACGCGAAGCGGAAGAGATCCAGAAGTGAATGAACACAATGGGCGAACGTCTTTTGGGTGATCTATACCAGGACCTCGAACGAGCTCGCCCGGTGGTTTTGGGACACCCCGCAATCACCTTGAGGCTATTTATAAACATCTCTCAGGTCTGGTCCTGGTATGTTGGGGTCATTTCAGTGGTCCATCACACCTGTCACAAGCTTCGCCGGTGAATTTCATGACGCCGAACTCCCAACCACTGAACCGAACAGAAAACACCGCTGAACGAAAACCACCGCAGCCTCCAATTCGTAGCAGCTGGCGGGTTGCAAACCTTCCAGCACCTGGCGAGTCAGTCGTTTTTTGAGCAGTTCCGCCTGGAACAGAGTGGCCGAACTGTGGTACCCAAGTGCTCATGGACCCTGACATGGAGTCTGGGGCCGGTTTGAAGGGACCCAGCTGTGAACCGGAGCGGGGTGGGGTAGTATACGTAGTAAATCCATTTAAATAGCCCGGAATTCTACTTGGATTCCGGGCCCGGACCATTGGTTTTTTCAGGGTTAAATCCCTATAAGAACGATGGTTTTACTATGAGGCGATGAAAAGGAGTTTACATCGAGTTTACTTTGCAACACCAGGTCAACCATGTTTTTCATGTTCTTGGAAGGCATCCCGGTGAATGTAGAAAATTCAGCAAATCCAATGGACTGAAGGAAACGATGAAGGAAACTGTACCCTGCCCAGAGTTTTGTTACTGGGGCCATTCTAGGATTTGTCTTGTCAAAATCAGCTGATTCCATCCCTGTCCATCTCCTGTGTAAGCAATGCATCCCTAGACTAAAAAAAAAGTATATAGACCCCTCAACTGAAAAAACAAACAAAGGGACCATCTCCGACCATCTCCGACCTTACCTGGGAAGACTTTACAAAGGACCTTCTCTAGGACATCCATGACTTGTTCCATCTTTCTCCCATGCATCACATGAATCATACCCTTCTTTTCCAAGTAGCTTAGAGGCCATCGCAAGTAGGTTGGAGGCCATCGCTAGTACCGCTAGTAGGTTCCTTTTGATCTGCATCACTTGCACATGAATCTGCTCGGACCAAACTCTCGCCAGGTGGGCGTAGGTCTGCGTGATGCCGCCCATGACAGAGGCGCGTCGGGCCCAGCCGCTTTCAGATTCACCCTGGTGCCACCGCTTCTGAGAGATGGCGCACAAGAGGCACCTAAAGAGACCTAGAGAGACCAAGCACTGTTTCTCTAAATGACGATCTAACGTCCACTAAGTATAGTAGAAGTAACTCAGTGTAGTATAGTCTGGTCGATTTGGTGACAATTATATAATGCTCATGATAACTTCTGACATCGCAATCGAAACGCCAAACCCAGCACCATACATCCATCAGATCCAACCTGCCAATCTTCCTCCAACTCCTCTGACTTTCTTCAAACACACCATGCCCCCAACGGTGCAAGCTCTCCCCAGTGCCTCCGGATTCTGGAACGGCCGGGCCACCTGGTGTTCGCGCTTCGGCCACCGCACCCGTGGCACCCGACGCGACCCGACCAGATAGACCGACCGACCGACCCGTTACGGACCCGGGGCGCGCTGCACGACCGACCGAGGCCCGCGCGGCGGGCCACCATTGATCCACTTCTTCGTACTTGCCTCGGTGGGGAGGGGGAGGGGGACACCACGAAGTGGCACGTTCGGTGGCACCGAAGTGAAGAACGGCACGTTCGGTGGCACGAGAAGGAGTTTGGAGGACGACAAGCTCAATTCTTCGAACTTCTCCTCCTTCTGCTTCTTCTTCTTCTTCTTCTTCTTCCTTCTTCTTCCTTCTTCTTCTTCCTTCTTCTTCCTTCTTCTTCTTCTTCTTCTTCTTCTTCTGCTTCCCGAGGGTTAAAGTTTGCAGATGGGTCAACATCACCAAAGATCAAGGGTGTGGAAGTGTTCCATGTGCTGGGTTCGGGATGGACTGGGATGGGAAATCATATCATATCCCCAGGTCTTCAAAGAAATGATGCACGGAAAATGACACGTCTTGCCATCGGCAGTCCAACACGGATCTTGTGGTATTAGTGCGTTCTGGTGGCTACAGCCGCGGTCACAAAATCTCATGAGTCACCATCCACAACTCCCACTGCTGGCATCCTCCCTGCCACATCCTGCCTGCTGAAGCTTCACTGACTTCCGGCGAGGCTGGGCTACCTCCCAACCAGCCGCGCAGCACCCGCACCTGCCGGAACTGCGACGGAGGTCGGTGCTGCGACGGAGGTGACCAGCTAGCTGTCCATGTACACGCTCCGGAAGCTCAAACAGCGCTTTGGCGTAACCATTCAAAGACTCTGCTTCGTATTTTGGCTTCAAGGTCTTAAGGTGAATGTCAACCAACAACCAATCTTAACCATGCACCTAAGAACCTGAAAACACCTAAGAACCTGAAAATCGATGAAACATAGAATAAACTAGATCATAGATCCGTTCCCAAGCTTTGACCACCAGCATTCTGCACTTCACTTCCACCCCGAGCACCGCTTCCACGTGCCCCACCCGCCCTTCGCCTCGCGGCAGCGCACGTAGAAGTGCTTCACCGATTCGCCATTGCCCGAGGGACCTGGGGCACAGGACGGGTGGGGCCTGTCGGCCTCGGCCCGAATGGAACACGAAGTCATGAGCAGTCCCGGTGGGCTTGGTGGTGATTGTGGCAGTCTACTCTTGGTCTTCTTGGGGAGTCATGAGCACCCCCATCTGGGTCTTGGATACAATGATCTTGGATATCATGATATCATGATGAAAGGAATTCTGCTTTCAGTCACCCGAAAACAAGTTAGTTGGAGCTCCTTTTCAGTGGAGTTGGTCAATCCAGCAAACACGGTCAAAGACTACCAGTAGAGCTGAGCACATGGCTTGGCCAATCGAAAGAGATGCTTGTGGTGGTCTTGCCCGTGACATGCACCTGCAACGCGCAGTCGCATGGCCATGAGCAGCATGGATCATGTGATTGGAAGAACAATAAGCAACTATCTTGCTAGACCTACAGTAATTAGTAGATCCTTGGCAGACCTTGCTGCCAGCCACGAAGACTCCAAACAAAATCCAAACAAACATCCATTTCAAAAGAAGCAAAGCTCGAAAGCATTTGAACCAGAATCCAGATTCTTCCAGATTCTTCCAGATTCTTCCACACCTCCAACCATGTCCCATCTTCTCTATCCCATACACTCCATGGGACTGCCAGTCCGGACTGCCTTCAAAACGGCCGTTCGGGGTGGTGGATGGTGCCAGGGGATCAGGCCAGGGGCGGCACATTCCAGTCCCAGACGGGTCGTGTATACCGTCGGTACATGGGTATGTTCCCACCCACCACTTCCACCGTTCTTCTACACTTCGCCATGGCCCGGCCTCCGCAATGTTGTTGGGCAGCCCCGGCGGCGCCCGGATCACCTGGCGATTCGGGCAGTTCTCCGGGTTCAGCAGGCCACCTTTAGGCCCGGTGGGGGGAGGGGAGTAGGAGTGCGATGAGGATCTCCTCCGAAAACCCACTGAACGGGGTGGAGCTTGAAGTTTGGGAAGTCCTCGCTTCAGGCGGCTGAGGATCTCCCTGCTCAGATCAGAGAAGTTGGAGTCCAAACCAACAAAGGGGTCTCCCCAAACCGATCTCGGGCGGGCCGAACAGTGAGCATTTGTGGGGGCGGAAACCTCCTTCGATGTGTCACCACCTCCGAGCGAGCGAGCGCTCGCTCGCATGTGTTCAAGACCTGCGCGTGACCTCAGACACAGGTGCTGGATGAACCCTCCTTCTGGTGCAAGCAATACTGAGTCTGACTCTTAGCAGTTGTATTATTGTTTCGCGAAAAAAAAAATAAAAATAAAAAAACTGGAAACTCACCCATTTACAACACCTATATCTTCACATGGCCTGTCACTTAGTGAATCTTAGTGATTTGGTGGTGCACGTTATGCTGTACATATTGTGTTGAAAGATGTGCATTTGGTCCATTTGGTCAGCGGTCAAACAGTGATAACTATTGAGCTGGGCACACCTCACAATTCCCACCCAAAACCAGGCCTCAAACCGGAGAAGAACAAAAAAACCTTCCACTTTCTTCCCACTCCAAAAGAATTTCCCACTCCCAACATGTGATTACAATATATCACAATCTTCCGTGCCCCCACAAAGCAATTCTTGTTCCCACCTCGAGCCCACGCCACCCTCCTAGCTCCTCCAAGCCCCACTCGCCCGCGCCCCGCCGCTGACGCGCCCCGCGCCCCGCTGACGAGTCTCACCCCGCTCGTCCGCCTCTGAGGGCATCGACCAAGGCGATTCGCCCGCGAGGCTGAAGGCCTCCCAGGAGCACCGGGACCCAGTCTCCGTGCCGTGCCGTGCCGTCCAGAGTTCGTCGTGGGTTGCTGAGTCCAGTCTGGGGAAGGCTTTAGAGTCAGAGGGAATACTGGAGGTGCCTTTGGTCAGGGATCTGAAACAAGAATGAAGGTGGACTTTTGGGGTGTTACACGAAAAAGGATGGCTTTTGGAGGAAGCTAAGCTTTCATACCTCACACCACACACCGTCCAAGCAATTCGCAATTTCAGGCTTTGACAAATCCCGAGATGCCAGTGATGCGAATGGATAAACCTCGAAGTGCTTCAAACATCAATGAGAATGGTGTTCTCTTCACTCAACACAATGACGTAGATTTCAGATCCCGCTTCACGCTCCAAGAAGGATCACAAATCCCAGGCCTTCAGGATGCAGTGGTAAAAGCCTCAGAACCACCATGACCCGCGAACTCCGCCGGCGAAATCGCCCGAACCGCGCACAAGACGCACCCACGCGTTTCGGGCATCGCATCGAGAGCTGAGAGAGACCCGCGCGCCCTGAAACGACAGGGTTTGACATTGGTGACCTGTAGAGGTTCGGGTTTGGGTGCTTAGATCATGGCCAGGACCCAGCTAGGTGGGCGAAGGGTGTCCCCTCCCAAAAGCCGACAGCTTCGAGGGACAGGACCATCGACACCTCGGTTTTGGGTCCGCCGGTCCGGTAGGGTGCACCGGCCCCTTGGAACGGCGAGTGAGAGGTGAGGTGAAAACCACCTGCTTTGATGTATCCACGGGGAACCTCCGATCAACTCGGGGGGCGAACTGTTGCCAAACCATCATGAGGATGTTCCATGAGACTTCCAGAAAATGTGTGCATGTTTGGGCCATTCGTATCACCCAACCTTCGAACATGAGGCGGAAGTGCCTGAAGTGCTGGCCGTGGCGAACCATATATGTATCCATGGTTGAACACCGAAACCGCCCCCCAGATATAGCTAGGTCAATATGTGGAGTTGAACAAAATCATGAACCAAGGACACTGCTCTTCAACTGTCTTCAACTTCTATCATTGTCTCAACATGTCTCAACATTGCATTGAATATCAGTTCTCTGGGAACATTCCAGCTCCAAGATGTTCCAAGTTCACCTTGCCGTCTTCAGTTTGAAAAGCGCTTTATTCTTGACCTTGATCTCACCATCCTTCTGCTATCTTCAAGATGGGGGAACACAAAGACCTTGCGGGGTCTTCCCCCCTTCCCTTTCGTCAGGTGCTTCACACGCCTCGCCAGCTCATCCACCGGCTTGCGTTCTGCTCGCGTTCTGCTCCGCTCTCGACAAGCTCCGCACACCGAGGGACGGCCAGGCACGAGGCCCTCCAGGGTGGTGACGTTCTGCACGTTTTTGGGTCTGGTCTTGTAGTCCCTGACCTGGTCGTCGGGTTCGCGAGGAACAACACGTGAGGTTCTTTTTTGGAGGTGGGCTTAGGCTAGGTGTTGGAGTGAGAAACCTCGGGGGCCAGCGGTTCCAAAGAGGTCCTTGGAACTGGAGCGGCGCCCAAGTCTCCACGGAGTTGGGATATATCTACCAGCCCCTGACGTTGAACTGGTGATGGGTCTTTGTGCCCTCTATTGGATGTCTCAGCCGCCTCCTCCGCTGGAACACAGCGCTCCGCCAGCGGAAGATTCGACGTGTTCGGGCCGGACGCCTGTGGGATGTTCTCCCGGAGTTCCTCGTGCTCGTTGACGTCTGGCGAAGGATACCCACCCTGACGACCGACTGCAGCGGCAGCAACGAAGACAACTGGAGGGTGGCGGGTTTGGTTGGGTGAACATATATGGTGTGGCCCAAGCGGTAGTACCCGGTAGTAGTTCCCCGCCATTCAACTGAAGAAAGTCCAAATTGTGCAAGTCCTTTGGACATGAGAATTAGAAGATACCTGGAACCCCACTGACCCCTGTTTTGATAGGAAAAGGCCATATTTTGGGTGGTTGGTGGTCCAAAATAGAGGTCATTCAGGTTCTAGGCCTAGGTATATCATATTTCTTGCGAGGAATTTCTCGCAACACTGGAGGAGGTTCAATCTTGATGGTCCTCTGACAACCCTCAAGCGGGAGATGGATGAATCCATCTCCTCTGCAGGCGGCAGTGAGAATCCAACAGAGCTTCGCTGTCTCGCCTGCATGTAGAGGCTGTAGTGGGTGATCATGTGGGTCTGCTTGTCCTGACATACTTTTTCGTGAAGAACACCCTGGTGAATCCGGGTTACATCTCACCTAAGAGGTTTTGGAAAACTGCTTCACGATGCTGTGATGCTGATGGTACACTCCCAGACCATTTATGGAATCTACCCTATGGCCCTATGTATGACCCCCCAATGTAAGTAAGCGATTTTCCATACGGTACGTGGATGGTCTGGTCCTTGCCATGCGCCATCTCCCAGGCCTTTGGGACGAGCTGCAGCTCAACGACACCCACCCTTTCGCGTTATTACTAACACTTAAATGCCCGTGGGCTTATATATGATCTTCTGCCATCTGTCCTGGTCGTAGATGAAGCCGACTCGATTGTCCCAATTCTCTGGGCAAACCCACTTCACCTGGCACGGTGCCGCTGGCTCGGCTCGCTCGGCGCAAACGCGCCAGCGCAGCTCAGCGCGCCAAAAGCGGGAACGGCCGCTGGGCGGAGTGGTCCCTGCCGGAGCACCTTCAGCCGATCCACGCCGTTCTCGGAGAGAAGCTGCACGATGGGTGGCTCAGGCTGCCGTGGTGCAATGAACCTGCCAGGACGGGATGCCACCAGCCAGGCTGGGGTGGAAGTCCCAGAAAGAAAGAATTCGTCTCCGAGCATCGAAAGAAGATGCAAACAATGAGTTTCTACCAGGACCCTCCTGTCGGGGTGCCCTGTCTGGAAGCCTATAGGAACTAGTAGTGTGGGGTAGTCCAGCCAGGACATCCCGAGGGTCGGAGGGTCCTGGTATCAGTGTTTTCCAACTTTGAAAGTGCTTATGGACGACACAAGGAGTTGGCCTTCAGTTCTGTGCTTCGAAACCATTGCCATCCATGCGGAGTCCATGCGTTTCTCTGTCTCTGCCCCCTCCCTCTCTCTCTCTCTCTCTCTAAGGATCCAAGTACCTTCTCATATGTAGGTGTTGAGGGTTCTAGTATCTTCTGAGAAGGTACGACTGGATCCCTAGGGTCTCTCTCTCTCTCTCTCTCAACTTCTCAGGCTTCCCTACTTCTCCGGCGGCATGGGCTCCGTCTTGACCTCGGCACACCGCGGCCGGACGTCCCGGAAGACGTCCCCGAAGCGAAACAGGAGGTTCGTGGTGTGGATGGTGAAACACCCGTTTCACTGTGTCACACCAGAATGCATTCGACCAAGAGAATGGAGCCACGAGCATATGCCTGGAACCCCACTGACCCCTGTTTTGATAGGAAAAGATGGAAAAGGCCATATTTTGGGTGGTTGGTGGTCCAAAATAGAGATCATTCAGGTTCTAGGTGAGCACCGGTTACCACCCGAAAGCAAGGAACAAACAAAAACACGAGAACGACAGTCGTGTGGTAGACTGGTGATGCGACGCGTGTGTCATCGCAAACGAGCCGCAGGTTCCACGGCGGGTGGGCTACGTGACGAGTCACGCACGTGGCGGTCATGATTGGGAACCCGTGATGAGCTGAAGAGAAATCAGGAGCCAAAGGGATGACTCCAAATCTCGCACGAACTCTCAGTCTGCTTCTTCGAGCGCCAATTCGGCCGGCACCCGCGAACGAAACCTCTCGGTCGCCCGGCCATGACGGATTCGCCGTAGGGACCTTGTCCGACCAAGTTGACGCCCGCCACTTTGAAATAGTATTCCGTCTCCTTCGATCGGTCGATGTTCCACACAAATCCGTGGGATGGAAAAGGAGAAGTACGTATCAACCACCTCTGAAAAAGGGTTACACTCGGTTACACCCGATAGGCCGATAGGACCGAATCCTAGCGAAACCATTGTTTCCAATTGACTGAATGAGCCTGAATCCTGAACAACCATTGTTGTACTCAGGACTTTACACTACAAAAGCAAAAAACATCTCTTTATGATCTGGATGCAGTGTATACAGATGTGTCGGATGAAGTCTCTATAGATCCTCTCGCTCCTACTCGATATGACAAACCCATCACTGGGCAACCTCGCTCGATGTGAAGCCTCGAAGGCGGCGATCTGAAATCCCCATTGCTTGGTGTTCATCTCCAAATCTGGGTCTGGGCTACACAATCCTCACCAGTTGTCATAGACATTCATAGACTATAACCTGGAACCCGGACAGGACCCCTGGTTTTGAATACGAAAAGGATCGAAAAAAGGCCCTTATTCTTTGTTGGGTGGTTGGTGGTCCAAAATAGTGGTCCCAAATTCTACGGTTCTAGGGACAGTTTGACCCATCTCTGATTCTTCAGGCTCCAACCACCTCTCACTTCTCTCCAACACCTCCACCTCACCACCTCCCACCGATGGAACCCGCCCCCGCCACCGGTCCGGCTTCAGATCGCCGACCTTCGCCTCTCTCCCCGCCTCACCGATCGATCGATCCGCGGATCGGACGGGGCGCGACCGGCGGCGCGAACGGAGAGGAGTGCGAAGCCGGTCCGAATCCCCGGTCAGGGGGGGCTCCGTGAACTGGGGCCCCCCCCCCTCCTTTTCAAAGAGGGGCCTACCGGGCTGGGTTGGGGGACCCGGGTGCCCACCGAAGCTGAGGAGATGGTCGGAGCCCTTTCCGGAGCTCTTGGGTTGGGCGGACGTGTTGGGTTTTTTGCGGTGACATCCAGGGGACAGATCTGTTTAAGGAACGCTTGGATGGGTCGTGCTGCCGCGACAGCCTCCCTGTCGCGCTGCTTCTTCAGGTCTGGACCTGCCGGATCCGCGCCGGATCCGCACCTTGTGGCCCACTTCCTTTGCCTCCTTGAAGTCTTCATGCAGCGAGTAGCAAATCCGATACCTCCCAGGCGAAGGTCGGGGTCATGTAGTATGTGCCTGCTCTGAAGAGCTTCGGTTTCACCTTCAGCCTCTTGGAGGCCAGAGAAGAAGAAGAAGAAGAAGAAGGAGAAGGAGAAGGAGAAGGAGAAGGAGAAGGAGAAGGAGAAGGAGAAGGAGAAGGAAGAAGATGAAGAAGAAGATAATTACAAGAAGAAGACAATTATAAGAAGAAGAAGAAGAAGGAGGAGCAGAAGAAACAGAAAATGGAGGAGAAGAAGCTTAAGCTTAGAAACATGTCGAATCGGATGGGAGCCGCAGAACGGTGAGGAGAAAAAACGCACCTCGATGTTCATGGAAAGACGTCATCGGCTGGAGATGTGGTATGTTGTCCCTAGAAGTCCTATATATGTTGCCCCTTCTGAAGTAAAAAGAGATGGAAGTTCCTTTTCGGATCACCTAAAGACCATGTTTAAAGTAGTCTTGGACCCCCAGGGATATTGCAACCGCCACCCATTCCAACCTCCCAAAACCACACCACCCACCGAGAAAAGCGACGCGCACTAAACCGAACAGCGACCGCCTTCCAATCATGCAACCTCCATCTTCTGTGGGCTTCAGCCACTTCAGCAAGACAGCCTTCGCGGCCGCCGCCCAGGGCTGACGGCGGATGATGTAGCAAATGATGCAGGACGCAGGTCTGGTAGTAAACAGCCCTGGTGTGTACGCACCACTACGCACCACCTGCAAGTCCGCGTCTCCCTATGAAACCCAATGATTCAGAACAACACCCCATGAGGCATGAGCTTTGTTTGAGCCATACAGAAGTGGCTTTTTGCCCCACATGGACCGAATTGAATTGAATGAGGCCGAATGCGCTCGCTTCGAATGCGGTCGCTTCAGCTGATGTTGCACATGGGTCACGGTTTCCGTTACGTCGAAGCAAATCATCAGATACGCTGACTTCAGGCAGCAGAAGTGCCTCGTGTTGTTTGACTACAGCAACTCACCCCTGGGTCAAAGGATGTCAAAGGTGAAGGATGTCATACAGTTTGTCACTGTATGATCCACTACCCAGACACTCCATGTATGCCATATATGCCTACATTGACCCCAAAAACCACCCCGATGTAGGCATATATGGCAGTCCCATGGAGTGTCTGGGTATATCAAAAATACATAGTCAGGAGTGTCTATAAACTTTAAACAACCAAACTCCGTGGTGGTGATAGATGTTCTGCAGATAGGCACCGCAAATACGCCCCGGACACCAAAAGACACCGCAAAAAAGGTTGTTTGGACACTCTCTCCCAGCACTGAGGAAAGAAAGGGCCCATCCATCCCGCTCGACTGCGCCCGCGCTCGACCTGGGTCGCCCCAGCCCCGACGGCTTTCGGGTGTGGCTCGCCCTTCAACTCGCGCGGCGCGGAAGGCGCGCGAGGGATCGTGGCCACCACCCTGAGCTCGGTGTCCGCGCCGTGCGGTGTCGGTCGAGCCGTGTGGGTCGGTGCAGACGGGAGCACAGTGGGAAAAACAGAAGACAACCAGCTGGAACAAGGGCCGGGGGTTCTAGGTTAAGCTGCGCTGTTGGCAGGTCTTGTTGTCTTTATTCAAAAACCTGGAACCTCCAAAGTACCTTAGAAAATAAATGAAAATAGGACATGACCCCATTAAATGGTTTTTGTACCCATTTTAGCAGGTACTTTGAGACTCCAGGAAGACTTCTATACTGAAAGGCTGTACATGTACGTACTCTCGAAAGGCTGACATGTGTGTAAGGAAAAATGCCATGGTCGACAGATGTCGACATCGAACAAAGACTCGGTCTGAACTGGGCTGGCCGACCCTTGTCCCAGATGTGGGATGCAGTCCGAGAACTTGCCCTGGCCGACATCGTTCGTCGCCTGGCTGGGGACATGTCGAAGTCCGATGCGAAAACATCGGACTAGGCCTAGAACCCATACATGACTCCCTGGTTTTGATAGGACATTTTACAGGGGGTGGTTGGTGATACAACATAGAGGTCACTCAGCTTCTAGGTATCTCACAAAGGAACTGGAACCCATGCCACTATCGGTTTGGCACGAGGTCTCAACTCTGATTTCTTGGCAAAAAGATGTAGACTCTTGATTAATAACAACCTCCCCGGGTTTGAATTGGACATCCTTTTTATACCTAGATCTTCCAACTATGGCTATGGAAAATGCCTGTCTTTTGGCCGGTTTTATAGATGAAAAGCCATAAATGTTGCCCAGTCACAGACAGAAGAATGTTGGAAGATCTACGGGGTGAAATATCATCAAGAGCCCTAGATTAGGACACGAAGGGAAGAACTCTTTCAGCCTGCGTTCCATGGGCCGCCGAATGGGACGCACGACGTGCGTCGGTCAAACCGCCCGGGTCACCGCCACTCGAAGGTAGAACTTCCTCGGTGGGTGTCGTTCTCGTGGCTTCGCACGTTCGCCCCGGGAGGCGGTCGATGCCAAATTCGAACCATGCCAGATCTAACAGGAGTGTGTCTTAAACCATCTTAAACCTCTGAACTGGATAACAAAAGCAATTCACATGAAGAAGTCTTTTGCGCGGCCAAGGAACAAGTTGGGCTCGACGTTGTCCAATGTGTAGCTCGTCTGGGCGTGGTGAGGCGGCGTCACGTCACGCACCACCGATGAGGAGTTGATGTTTTCGTGTCCATTGGGCTCGGTAGCCGAAGCATCACGGTTCACCGGAAAGCGAATCAACCAATCATCCCATCATCCTGTTCCATCTCTGTCCTGGTCAACCTGCCATAACGTGCCCAAAAAAACAAACCAAAAAATACCACGGCAGTTTCCAAGGACGGTCAGGCAGACGTCTAAGGCCATTCATCAAACACGTCGCAGCGATCCTTGACGTCGCATCGCTCCGGACGTTCTGGTGATGTTCTGCCCTGCCTCCGTGATGTTCTCAATGACCTGCCACCGTCCGACTCGCCGGACCCGCCCGGGGTGGCTCCGGTCGGCAGGTGTCCGGTCAGGTCTGAAAATGCCAGGAAGCAGCACCATCCAAGAGGTGTCCATGTCCATAGCCTCTGAGAGGTTTATTTCTGTTTTGGACTTTCAAGCTATTCAAGGTCTGTGACCGCTAGCTATTCTTAGAGGTTAAGGGATGTCCAAAAAACCTGTTGGAAGGTCCAGGAAGACGATGTTTCATCATAGAAGAAATCGCTGTTGTTTTTTCTTCGACTTCGCTAGGGGTCGGTGTCAGGCTAATGTGTCAGGTCACTTGGAGATGAAGCCACTTAGCCTTTGACATCCGTTGACTCACGCCTCGCCTTGAAGCCCTGAAAGCGCATGTTCGTGGCCCAAATCAAGGTGTAGAACCTGGCCAGTGATGAAGTTCTACAACTAGACGTGACGAATTCTGGACCCTTCCTGTCACTCTGAAGTCAAAAAAGACACCGTTTTGCACCCCCCCCCCAAGAAAAGAATGCCCTATAGTACATAGTAGAGCTCCATGTCGGGGTGCTGAACTTGGAGGATGCCCGGGTGCCCTGCCAGTCCCACTGCCCCACAACACATCCGCTCGTTGAAGATGGGTTCCAAACGGTCCCTACCTTTTAGAACTCCAAACTCCAGACGGTGCACGGTCTTTCACTGGTCTTGAGCACGCGTCACATGCCGCTGTGGCTGAATGTCAGAGCCGCCATCATGAGGGACGTGCCAATGGAAGGTGATGGAGTATGGCTTGGCATCCTGGCGAAAGTGACAGGCCTTCATCCAATCGTTCTTTTCAGCCGAATTGCACTTGACCAACAGCCCCCCACAGCACTCAACCAACAAACCCTCCTAACAAACATTCCAAGCTAGCCATCAACAGCCCTCAACTGTCTCCAAATTGGGAACATCGACCTTCGCCTCCAACAAACCCTCACCAAAAACCTCGAACAAGACACGCTTTTCACCGATCTTCGCCTCCTCCGAGGCCAGGAAGGGCGCCGTGCACTTGTCCGGGATCGTCGGCATCGTCGTCACCTCGGCCGCGCCGCGGGTGGCGCGCGCGCCGTGCGCGTCGTGGGTCGGCGCGTCGCGGGTCGTTTGGGGCCGGGTTCGCTCCAAGGTCGTGGCCAGGTTCGAGGGTTCACTGGTGTCCGACTCTCCCACCTGGCCAGGCAGGTTCGAGGGAGGCTTCACGTGTGTGACGGTGAAGGTCAAAAAGAAGAAGCTGCCCTCGTTTTCTGAGATTATTGGTGATTCTTAATAAATGAAAAAAGAAAACGCCTCAATCTTTTTGTGTTTGCTTCATGAAGTTCATCCCCATTCATTCTCCATTTGCTTTCACCCATGTTTCAGGCACCCGCTAAAGCATCGCTACATTCCGTCGATTTCTCGACACGAGAAATCAGGGTCGGGTCGTCCACACCTCGTTGAGACAGGAGAATTTGAACCTGCATGACAGGCGAGTCTAGGAGCAATTGCTGTTTCTAGGAGCAATCACTTCATCGTCGTCCTTTTGTTTTATGCCAACGCCCGCAGTTCTTAAGGAACCCAAATCATCGATCCAAATCTTGTATCTATGAAGAAAACGACCTATACCTGGATCTGACCTGCCTGTGACAGATCTCTGCCGAACTTCATCCATAAAATCAGCCAAGGTCGGCAGGCAGACACTTGGCATGTCGTTGGAAGATCCAGGCATAGTTCAACCCAGACGCTCCCTGTCTGGGACTGCCATAGGACTGCCGATCAATTGACCCCCTGGCACCACCCCAATGGTAGTCCTATGCCAGTCCCAGACAGGTCGCGTCTGGGCCATGTTCGACCCGGTGGCATCCTCGCCGGTCTCGGGTCTCGGGTCCATCCCACGACCGACTGGTCTGGATGTCGTCTCCTGTAGCTGGCTCCAGGCTCCAAGTGTAGGACCTCGCGCCAAAGCACCCGGAAGGATGGATGGAGCTAGCTGAGCGCACTGAGCGCAAACGCACCAGGCAATGGAAAAGAACAACAAGTGCATGGATTGCAATCAGTGCACGTTCCCACGGTCCCAAAGGCAAACAGATCTTCAGTGCCACTCCTCAACCGCTTGGACTGGGCAGGCCATCGGGTCGGTCCAACATGTTGACATGTTCAAACTGTATGTTCATACAGCTTCGGAAACTCCGAAGCCCAGCTATGCCAGAACAGCATGAACAACACAGTCAGGTGAAGATACTCTCAGCATCTTTGAGTCTTAGACCTACCATAGAGACTTCTGGCTGATCACCCAGAAGCTCCGACCCTTCACCCCGTCCCCCGACCCCACGTGGCACGCACCACGGCACCCCGAGACAACGAGGTTCGTGGACTCCGCGGCATCTCGGGCTCCGCACCGTGAAATCCCAGTTGTATTGCACCGGCAAGGTGGCCGTGTCCTCGTCCTGGCGCACCGTCCAACGTTCTGTTCGGATCCCCAGAAAACGACGAGTCGAGGAGGAGGAGGAGGATGTGAAAGGGATCGCTGGGATCGCTGTGGGGGGTGTGTTGCGGGAAGTGCGGGATAGCGCAAATAGCGTTCTGGCGCCGTATGACAGCGTGCGTTATTTGTGCGTCTGGTGAGTTGATGGATGTGCTCAGCCCAGGAACTCTTTTGACCATATGGATTCAGCCGTACGAGGTCCGAGTATACGTATCCCAAACACGACTATGGGACTGCCATATATGCCGCCCCATTGACCTCCAAAACCACCCCAACTGATCGGCATATATGGGTTACATGGAGTGTCTGGGTATGAAACTCCATTGAAAAGCTCAGGGTGATTGCGCAGTGTTTCGATGGTTCCCAAAAAAACGGATGGAACTCCACGGCGGCCTCCACCGGCCGCTGCTCCACCTCGCAATCCTCCGCCTCCACCACTTTGAGCTCCTCCAGCGTCAGGTGAAGGACGATGTGGTTAAGGTTTGTAGTTTGGAGATACCTGGATCTTCCAACTGTGACAAATGTCTGCCTAAGGTCGGTAGAAATTTGGCATAGTTGGAAGATCCAGGTATTTGGTCTCAAGGTGCAGTCGTTTTTTGGACTCTTGATCGAGAAGACCGTCCTTCCACTCCGTGACTTCGGGACGAGTCTTCCAGTTGGGACCCAGGAAGTGTAACCTGCCGCGCCGCGCGTGTTCCGCGCCGCCGCGTCTGTTTCGGTGTCTTTCGATGGCTCCCCCATATTTATGGCGTGTACAGGTCAGGAACGGAGCAAACAACTGATGAAAGACATGGAGTCTTGCTGGCAAAGAATCCGGCTTTACAGGATTCCTGGTTTCCCCATTGATTCTGCAGATTCAGAGTCTGAATCCTGAAGAACAACTGCTCGAACTGTTTGACCCAAGGATTCTACATCAAAATCAGGTCCACCACTTTAAACATGGCCAAACGGAAGGCTAATGATTAATGTCGACCTTTGATGAGTGAATACCTCCTCAGACATGGATTGTAAAGCCTCTTCAGGAGTCTACAGTCAGGAGGATTTGGATGAATATTCGGAGTCTACAGGTATGGATCACTTCACCAATCACTTCACCAAAGGTTTTTATATTTGGAGTTCATCTGTTTTGACTCGCTAGGAGTAAAGCCGCCACCCAAAATGGGCGCAACACACACGGCAGGCCTGCATCCCGTCACAGGGCTGCCATTGCCTTCAGGTAGCACCATCTTCCTCAAGAAGCGCAATCTCTCTGCTCTGCAAACTGAAGCTACTTACTTAGTCCCATCACATCCAGTCACAGCGATCTTTCTCCACTGGGTCGGGCAAACGAAGTGAGGAACGCCCACAACTGTTGCAGAACAAAAGTCCGACCCGACCACGTTGCAGATGGAGGAGAATCCAAGTGCTAAGCCAAGAGCAACTTCGCACTGTAAGGATTCAGCACTCCTGGCAGCTTTCGCTGCAAGGTGGCAGCCGAACTCGTCCATGAAAGATTGGTGTCTATTCTATACAGTCTATACACCAAAACCCAAGCCTAGGATTCCAACCACCATTCATTGAATGGTTCTCACCGAACAACCATTGCTAAAGGACTTTACCCCAAAAAACCATAGAAAAATGAGTCTTCTCCTTTTGACCACAAATGGTGTCTTCTCCTTTTTACGGCGACCTTCTGGATCCTTTTTCCCACATGAGTACCAGTCCACCCACCTCTCCCCTCCGCCCCCCTCTCGCCCCACGGTGACGTCACGTGGACCCCGCCTTTCACCACTTCAATGGGCTCCGGTGTCTCCGGCCGCGACGGCAGCCTCAGCCCGGCACGGACCCCTCCGCCGCGGACCGAAGCGCGCAGGACGAGACGAGAGCCGCGGCGACTGGAGGCGTCCCTTTCAGCCTGGGAAGCCCGGACGTCTTGAAGGGCTCCGACCTGAAGCAACGAAAAAGGTTCCTATATATTTCATACCAAAAAAGAGGCACAGCAAAATCAGCCGACATGATTTATTGAAACATATTGAAAAATAAGTATACACGAAAGGTAGCATTATGCTAGCTGAGTTCTATCTTGCGTAAGCAAGGGGGGCTGTATCCTTGAAAGTCCTTGATTTTTGGACAAATCAGTTCTTGGACGCCAACGGAAGATCACGGGATGATTCTTTGGGGGGACTATCAACGCGCTTTCATAGGGCGGTCAGTGACCACAAGCTATGACAGCTATGAGAAGTGATGGCATGAGATGGAATTGGACTGTCTTCACCCATCTTTCCCCCCTCCCTCCCAGGTGCTCCCCCAAACCATCCCAAAAGCTTCGCCCCTGCACCCGCCGCTGCACCGCTGGGCTGCCCGTGCACGAAGCTCCACGGCCCGGTCCCGTGCGGCGACACCGCCCGGACCTGCCGGGCGCGACGAGTGCCGAGTGCCGAGTGGCGAGGACGGGGACGGTTGCTGGGGGCCTGGAAGAGGTAGGTCCGACCGGTGATGAGCCCACCCACGCGCACCTGAAGGGCCAGTGGTCGAAGCGGTGCAAGATGGTAGCAAGTTTGAAAGCGAGAAGAGAAGCTCAATCTCCGTGAGTTTGAGAGCGAAAAAGAAAGTGAGTCATGTTAATTATATACCCGGAGTCTCAGTTCGTACCTCCTAAAATGGCTACAAGATGGTACAAGTACCGGTTTTCCTAGGGTCATGTCCCACATTTTCGGTACGACCGAAGGTCCGGGGTCCAGGTAGTATTTCCGACCCCACTTCAGCGACCCCAAACTCCGAGCGCCCGACGGGCGGGGATTCTCCGTGAGGTGGAGCTGGCCAATTCAGAAGTCCCACCTGCAACGGGCGCCCTCGCTTCGCTCGTCCGACCCCGTCTCAGCTCCACGAAAGACATTGACATGAAGTGGAGGAGACGAGATCAGCGCACCAGTTGCACCAGCCAAAGCAGTTTGTGCCAAAAACTGCAAAAGAAACCTCCGACTTCATACCCAGCTGCCTCCAAATGAAAAGTGTCTGCCCTTTGGGGACTCGTTTTAGACTAGAGATGAGGCACGAGGCGCTGCAGCCGTTGGAAGATCTATACACCGTGAGCAGATACACACTATACACCGTTGTTGCCGGAAGATCTATACAACATCATTGCAGCCGTTGCTGCCGTTGGTGTGTATCTGCACATGTTTTTTTGAAGTAAAAAACCGCATCAACTCGCCTGGTCCGGGGAACATCCTTCGTCCGTCACGATCTGCCCGGCATCCGGGTCATCCAGGTACTGCTCCTTGCGAGCATACCTCGGGCGGGTCGGGGCGCTTGCTATCCACAGCGTGGAAACAGCCCAGCGGGGGCCTCCACCCAGATCCATGCGTTGCCCCAGAATCGGAAGTACGCTTGCTTCGCCAAGTCAGGTTGGTGTGGTTTTTCACCAAGCCTGCTTGGCATGTCCATCGGTTCGATGGCTCATGACGCAACCTCTGAGCTCTGGCTTTTCTTGGGGATGGCCGGCTCCCTTGTGGGTGCTTGGGCCAATTGGGTTCGTCTCCCCCCGAGGCGCGCCTCAACTCGTACTCGGTGATGTTGCCGCCATACTTGGCGCCCAGGTCACCCGCCTCAGAGGAAAGGTTCCATCCAAACAGAATCCTCCAGGAGCATTCCGTTCTGGGGTCACTTGGCGTTCGACTAGCCAGCCCACTACTAGACTGGACCTCCAAGCAGGTGACACTAATTGGATGATCCTGGCTCCTGGTGTCTCCACGAAGTCGTCTTATCGCGAGACCTCACACTATATTATGATCTCCAGGCTGGACTCCCCAAACGAAGGGTCTAGGTGGGCTTTTAGCCCTTGGCTGTTGTTTGGCTGCTTCTCGTTTTGGAATCCAATAGATCGCAAAAGGTCAGATCATGTCAGATCCATTTGGAAATAGGAGCCCGACCTGGATGTATTTCACAATCAAGGACTCCTTGCTGTCAGCCTCTGCGGTCGAAAGTGCAAGCTCTGTGGGGCTGTGCTGTCTCTGCCGAAGGCAAGGCTCTTTGGAAAATCTTTACACAGGGAAAATTCAGGGAAAATGCGAACACGCCGTGTTTCGAACAACCCAAACGCTCCTGGACTCTGGAATGGAGGAGTCTGGGGCTTCTCACCAATCCCTATAGGTCTCTGAGAGACCGGAAGTAGGATGAAGTAGGGCTGTGAACTCACGGAGCCAGGGCGGATATATGGAGTTCCGCCCCAGAACCTCTGCTGTCGGCGGCCGCGGTTCGTGACCAGGACGCGGTTCGTGTCTGTCGGCTTGGGTCCCATCTAGGGCATGTCACCTGTTGTGTCGAACCTGTGACCTGTTGGACGGATGGCACACCTAGAACCTGAGTCTGACCTCTATTTTGGACCCCAACCACCCAACATATGGCCAAACTTCCTATCAAAACAGGGGTCAGTGGGGTTCCAGGCATACAGAAAATAGCTCGGCACATCGAGGTCTGGCCACGAACGAGGTCTACTCGTCCCCGTCAGGCGCCCGTGTCTACTCTCGTCAAGGTGCCCCCCAACCTCCAACCGCACACACGTCAAAGGCCACTAAAGATGGGAAGTTTACACCATACTCTTTGCCCAAACCAAATTGGTGCTTGTCTGTTACAGCAGGTGTTCTTGGACCCAAGTTCCAGCGTTTCTTGGACTTCCAAGAAACCACACGCTTCTTCCCCCTCAAACCATCCCTCCCGTTGACCTGCCCTGTCGACCTGCCTCCAGGAGCGTCACCGCGGCCAGGCGCGCAGGCTCGCCCACTTGGAGCAGCATCGGCGCGGAGACCTCCGACCTCGTGCAGCGTCGGGTCGTGTCGTGTCTGAGCGCGCGCAGACACGACCAGCTCGTGGGCGAAAGAAGCTGGAGGTCGGGGAGGGAGACATTGGGACACTCACGACCAGTCTTAAGATGGGAAGTATAAGCCCTATAGAAGTGAAGTCGTGGCCCACCATGTGTTTAATGGCCTTTACCGAACAACCATATTGTTTTACATTTTACTAAGGGTACTACAAAACCAGATCAACCGTTTTGAAAATGGTCTTGGATTTCCAGGGTAAGTCTATAAGGAACATGGCTCATCTGTTGAAGAGTTGTTCCAATATGGTCCAATCTCATGTCTCTCTTGACTTAGTCTTCAGCTTCCAAAAGGAATATATGTGCACCTTGGGGTCATTGGGGTCACGTCCATCTCGGGGGCCACGTTGGTTTTCTTCAAGCTACGCAGTAGCGAAGCAAAACATTCAAATCCCAGTCGTCTCCCGTCCACGTTACATAGGCGAGATGCCATGGAGAGACGCCAGCGGCATTCCAGCAGCGCGTCTGGAAATAGTAGGGGCCGCGCCTCATTTGGGAGACCATTTCAACCTATGAGTGAACCATCCGAGAATCGATACTCCTCAAACCTCCTCAAGCCAAGCACAACCCCATGCGCCTCAAGTTGGAGACATCCTATGAGCTAGAGCTAGAGAATTGTCCTCGATGGATTTCTTCCAGTTCTGCTCCAGATGATTCCCAGCACAACCAGCTCCAAGCTCTAAGCTCCAGGTGAAGCTTGGATCAAGATGAGCACATGAGGACATGAGGACGTTCAAAACAAAACAGGAAGTAAACAGCTGCCAAAAACGGATCCAACAAGCCCACTTACTTGTGCTGCAGCTCCCCGGCTCCACGCCGTGTAAACAACGCCACGACGCCAACCGTGTTTTCTCCGCCAGCTTTGGGGGGGGGGGCTCCCTCGCTTCGGCTCGCGCGAGCGGTGACCGGGCG